GTGTGTGTGTGTGTATATATAGAAATGTAAAAAAAAAACAATTATATACATGAAATAAACTACTTTTTATTTCTCTCAGTGTAGTAAGGTATATCCAGTTTAAAATCTGTTAACTGAAAGTTCAATCCTTGCATAAACAAATGGGCATGCTTGACAACTGCTCTCATGTTACAGTTTTACTTCAGTTAGGCTATATGCAAATTGAAAGAAAAAACACTCACATGCAACATACAGGTACTCCTTTTATATCAATTCAAAAAATGTGATTTAATTCCAATATTATTAACTAATTTAGACAAATTATTATTAATATTACTTGCTTTAATGTAAACTGCTTGCTGACCATTCAGTGGAGGCGAGGAGAAGTGTGAATAGATTATTGTGTTTGTAGAGGTGGAATGCATTGGAAGAAGACAAAATAATATTTTTTTGATGCCATTTGACCCTCTGTGACTACTTTTTGGAATATAATTATCACTTAAATCAAGGATTGCAAGTACATAATCTCAGTATGTTTCAAGTTCTGCAACAAAGGCATTTCTGCAAAATAAACATTCCTGACATAAGTAGATTCTAAAAGGTTTTGATGATGGTGTGTAACATTCAGAATTACTGGGTTTTGGACTTTTTGGTCCAGTGAGTGAGGTTAGCTCTTTCTAAAGGACCCAACTGAGTAGGTGTCTCCCCCCCCTCTCTTGAGGATGGAAACAGATTCAGTTTCGAAAACGTTGTGTTTTTGAGTTTCTAGAATACCAGATGATGAAAAAGTCCAAAACCCCAGAAATTCTGAGGATTCCTGATATAACATTATTGTTATAAAATATCAAGGATGGATTGATAATTATATTTGTTTGACTTTGAGTTTCTCACAGTGGTGGCTGTGAAAGCACTATCACATCAGCTGTGAGGCTGTATAGTCCGGAAGAATATGGTGAACATCTGACTGACTACATGGCATTATATCCCAGAAGACACTCTTCATCATCATCAATCCAACATGTTAGCCACTACAGACACTCTACCTTATGCACCAGTGAACTATTATTGGTCTACACTGCGTCACATCCCAGAAAACAGCATTCTCGTTATATTTAAACTAGAGAAGCAATCCATGATCAAACAGTCACCCATCATTTCAAGGGAAGAAGGTACATAGCTAAACACCACAAGACCTTCAAGTTGAATGTTATGTCGATTTGCAAACTCAAAAGTAAGAGCAAAAATGGCAGGATGCTATAAATCATGTTGTCTAGAGGAAGGCATAGTATGGGAAATGAATGGTCTCACCTATAATACAATATCCTAGATAATTATAAACACTGGTAAGAAACTTTCTAACAGCAATGAAAGTACTTCTTTTGGCTTATTTTGGACTTCATCCATCATCTGGTATGTAAAAGCCAAAAAAACCACGACGTTTCGGAGACTGGATCTGTCTCCGTCTTCAGGTGGGTAGGGAAGGATAAACCTACTCAGTTGGGCCTGTTAGAAAGAGCTAGTCTCAATCACCTGAAGATGGAGACAGATCCAGTCTCCAAAACGTCGTGTTTTTTTTTTTTTTTGTCGTTTATGTACCTGACGATGGATGAAGTCCAAAACAAGGCAAAAGAAGTACAGTATACACCATCGTCAGAATCCTTTCAAGTCTAGCAATGAAAGTGACTCTGAATCAGATTTAGAAGCCCCCTCCCCTGTTTGAGAATGACTGAAGTTTTAATGGTATAGTTACATATGAAGCTGTTAATCTAACACTGTAATATCTTGGTGCTCAATTCACACATGGAAAATCACTGTCTGATAATCAGAGATAGAATTAAGCGTGGTAGTTAAATTCAATCTGAAACTGACTGTACTATTTTTAGCAGGAAAGAACCAGTGCAAACTAGGGGACCAATGAACAAAACATTGAATAAAAGGAAACAGATGAATTTGTTTTTGTGACCATTAAACCAACAGAGAACATACTCTTGACTAATGTTTGAAAGTAATATCTTCTGAATGTAAAGGCAGCCAGATGACCACTTACTTCCACCCAACATTAATGTTAAGTGTGTGTGGAGATTTACCCTTTATACCACTCTGTACAGCTTCATAGATGATATTACACACTTGGATCCCACACAGTTTAAATTAAATTCATCAAAGCAAGGTACCTTGCCCTGCATTGTTGCATCTAATGGATTATGATACCATGTTGTTTCCTCAAAACTTCCCAACTCTGTTTGGAACTGTAAAATCCATTCAATACTTCTTGTAATAATCTGCGGTTCAATATAAAAGAAGTTCTCCCAGTCTTGAAAGGAAGCATGTTTAAAAATTCGAATCGCCCAAGATGTGAGCCTGCAAAAAGAATCAGTTTTTAAAAACAAATAATGAACATTTACATATGTAAACAGATCACATTCTATTCATATTCTACTTTAGTAAAGAAAGGAATTGCAAGAAGGGCTGTTCTGGGGAAGGTGATAATCATTCTTGTTATCATTACTATTACTGTCACAGTGGGGAATGACCTAATAATAAAAACATATATATAATAGATATTACACTGTTATTAATAAAGAATATAAGTGTACTGTATCAGAAGCTATGAAAATATAATAATTTGTAAGTTGGAATCAAGGAATAGTCTGAAAATGCCAAACAATTCTGCTACTTAATATTCATTGCTTGGCAAGCTGAAAATTTGAAAATTTTAATTATTCAGAACTCATAATTTGAGCTAGAAAAGATGGAAATTGCAATGTGCAGGACAGACTAAACTTTTTAAAACAATAAGTGATGACTGTTAACCATAATACTGGAGTGTCTGCAGCAGTCTGCAGGCAAATGAAAATAATACTAGCAATGATGACAATGACGATAAAGTTGTCAGCATTGTTTTCCTGCTACTAAATAAGAAAATTAAAGATAGAAATGATTGGGTGCAGTTAGAGAGTATATTGAGAATTTAAAATAAGATATCTGGAGTGGGTATATTTTTCTGTACAGAAATTAGCACACCAGAATAGGATATTAAAGATAAACAGATATCAGAGTACTACCAGTGATGAAAAAATAATATTAATTCCAAAGGCAGGATATCAATTCAGCATAAAGCAGGTATACAGAGGAATACTGATTAATTTGATGGAGTTACATATACTGCATTTTGAATCAACACATGGCCAGAAAGAGATACTATATAACTGAGCTGAAACAATAAATAATACTGTTTAACTATACATACCCCATAAAAATGTACAGGGCTCCAAAATTGACAATGATAGGAGAAATATTATAACAAAAAGTAACAAAGTAAAGTAAAGCTATCCCTGTACCAGGCCGTGAAGGCCCATAGGGTTGTGAGACGTTGAGGGTCACACATTATCTAGACAATCAGCTCAAAATGACGGTAAGGTTGCCAGCCTTACGTGCCAGACGTCCCTTATTCCCCAGGAAAATTATTTAATTAATTCCTGGCACACTCTTCTGTTAGAGGCTGAGTGAACCCCAGGGCCATAGTGTGGCTGGAAGGATTAGGTCAATTGAAAAAAATCCAATGACCCCATCAGGACTTGAACCCGTGACCTTCCAGACACATCATAACAAAAACAATATATAAATATCACAGTACAGCATTCATAATGGAGCAGTTTTTTAGTAAACATTTATTTCACAGCATATTGTGAAAAAAAAATAGGCTTGGATTACAAGTTCATACACAAACAAAAACTTTTTTCGTAAAAGTAATAGTAACGATTGTGGAGATGGTGGTGGCAATGGCGAAGTTAGTGATGGTAATAATGGTAATTATGATGAGGACTTCTGTGATGGTAATGGTGATTTTGTGTCAACATGACAAACAATGCAATACATTAATCTGTAAAATGAAGCTTACCAGACACTTGGTTGTGAATTATCCCAGTTCTTAAACCAGCCTCTCCTATCAAATCGTTTCATTACTTGACCAAATATCACATTCACCTCTTCAAGCACTTGTTTGGTAATATCCCACTTCAATTGATTTGTGAGACGGAGGTAGTGAAGTGTCCACACATTAACTGCAAGTTCAAATATTCTTCCATCCGTACCCTTGATTTCTCTTCCGAGCACAACCCCAGTTGTTAGGGGGACTGCAGGAAATGCTGGTCCTATTATGTCACCTATGTAGCGTAATAAAGTTAAATCAACTTCAGAGAAGTTTTATGACAAATTTGAATGATGAGTTGGGAGCAACATGGAAGGAACAGCTTCTTACAGTTCTACACAATCATTTTTATCAAACATTGTATGGTTTTCCTCAGTCTCTCCAAGCGACACAATAGTTTGTCATCAAAATGACAGGTATAAAAATTCACCAATCTAAGGAAATATTTATTATAAGAAGTTCTGTTTTTCTGTGACAATTTGAAAGGAACACATTAGAATAATAAGATAATTAAGAAGATCGATACAGAATTACCAAAATTAGGGGAATATTCCTATTCAGGTAATGTTAATTTGGGACATCACTGTATTTCACAAAGCACCCATGACATAACTGGAGAAAAAGATGCAATAACAACTGGTAAACTGTAAGAGAGATGCAGGGCAATAAGTTATCATCATATTTAGTCTTCATTACAAATTAATTATGAGATCCCTGTTTCAATTTTAGACAAAGAGTATTTCACCACCTACCAGTAATTGTAATGTATCCACTTGTGCTTCCATAAACATAGCGTCGCCATGACTGATATGGAACTATGGGGGATTCCTCCACATATATATCCAGATATTGCAGAACAAGTGCTTTATTTTTTAAATCCAAATAAACTGCTGTGTGTTTGTTAACCATTGCACCTTCACCCTTGAAATATAATTTTACTTTCAAAATGCAACATTCATTAAGCCAAACAAAACTAAATATAATTATTTGTCAGTCTGTAACAGGAAGAACCAGTTTCTTATGTCTACATGTGGAACCTTGTCATTCATGAATCCTAAAGAACAATTTGTAGAAGTAATTTTATTCTGAAAGATGCACATCTGGTTGGTGTTGTGACATTGTATGTATGTATGTATGTATGTATTCTCTAAACCAATAGCAAGGACTAATTGTTATTGTGTATAGATCTGAGTATGCTGGAAATTGTAGCTGAAGAAGAGTTATGGGTTAATAAACTTTGTTCTAATTTCTAAAAACAAGTCAATGAACTTAAATTTTTCATTAACAATACTGAATTGAATAATGGACATTTTCTATTATCACCTGTGCTTTCTATTATGAATATACTTATCATCAAGCAAAATATTGTTAATTTGGCTCAGAAGTATTGGGGTTTTGTACTTTGTTCATCGTCTGGTATTCTAAAAATCAGAGAACACGACATTTTTTAAACAGATCCGGTTTCCGAAATGTTGTGTCCAAAAACCCAATAATTCTGAGTGTTATACACTACTGTCAGAACCCTTTAGAATCTAGTCTTAATTTGGTGTAATACTGACCAAATTTTTGCATTGTTCTAATTGTTCTACTTTTCAGATACTTTTCAAAAGACAGATTTGTATGTCTGGTTTGAATGTATGATAATATTCACAAAAAATATGATTCCTCTTTAGCATGAAATATAACTTCAGCTTTGTTATCTTGTACATATTTTCACAAGGACTGGTTGTAATGAGTCACATCTAGCATTCATGCATTCACTGAAGGCTTGAACTTCCTTCCTCTTATTGCATCTTCCAGAAATGCAACATGTCTTGTCCCTCATGTGTACATTGTACTTTTCGAGAAATATAATTTCTATGAAACCTCGGTTGCAAGAAAGGAAAGCAGTTCAGTTGAGTGTACTATGAGATGGAAATAGCATACGATGTTTGCATGTGGTGAAACAGCAAAATAACAAGATATTAGACAAGAATAGTGTAGTGGCACACAGTGAAACAGCAGTGAACAGTAAGAAACTGGCATCAAGATTGTGATACTGAAAATAACTGCTTACAAGCAAGATAAACGTTACAACAAAAAAGGTAACCCTGCTGTTTCCTACTTTCATATTTCACGTTTATTGCTGCAGACCTAACAAAAATATCCAAAGATACAAAGTTTACTCTGTACCCTTGCCAATATGTACAGTAGTCAAGGCTATTGAAACGAGGTACATACAGCTTCCATCTAAAATTATAAAAGAAGCCTATCCTAAAGATGAAGAGGGTATGTCTCTCTGAAACACTGAGAGCCACCTACCACATTACATGGTGTCAAATAATAGAGGAAAAACAGAGAACAACTAATGGTGAATAATGGGCATCTGTTGCATGGGAGGTGAAGGTGCTTAGAAGACCATCGAGGTAAAGAGTAAGTAAGTATAAAATTATTTAGTTCTTTTTCACATCCATGGTTACAAACCTTGGTTTGTTTCTTCTTGTATTTGTGGCACCCACATGCATGTGCATGTGATTCTGCTTATTGTAATGTATTTATTGTAAGTTCAAGAGATCCAAAGATGGATATAGAAAATGTCTTCAAATAATATATAGCATACAATACATACATAGATATTATATAACTAGACAGTACAATGAATACAACAATAATAAAAGTTATCTATTTAGATATTCATCCACAGTATAAAACGTATGCGTATTCACGAAATTCCTTAATAAAACCTTAAACTTTTTAAAGTTATTAGATGTGTTCTTGATCTCATTGGGCAATTAATTGAATATTTTTATATTCGCACAATAAACTCCTTTTTGATAAATAGTTAAATTAGCTTGAGGTAGATACAAATCTTGTCTTTGTCTAGTATCAATAGTATGAGAATTAATGTTTGATGGAGAAAGAACTTTATTTTGCAATACAAATACTAACAACGAAAATATATTATTATATTTAGGCATCCTGTTGCACTCCATACGATAAATGANACAAAAATATATATTGTGATACAAATGATAAAATATTTAACTCTTTAAATATGTTTCTAAATGAAACTGTATTGCCATATCCCAACATCGCTCTGATAGACTTTTTTTGGAGAAGAAAAATAGTAGAACTATGAGATGAGTTCCCCCAAAAGATGATACCATAGCTCATTAAGGAGTGAAAAAAGGAATNTAATGTTTGATGGAGAAAGAACTTTATTTTGCAATACAAATACTAACAACGAAAATATATTATTATATTTAGGCATCCTGTTGCACTCCATACGATAAATGATATAATGATACAAATTCCGTCCCAAGTGCAGACAATATATTATGTGTCCTTGATCTTGCTCCTCTACACTACATGTTTCGNTATATTGTGATACAAATGATAAAATATTTAACTCTTTAAATATGTTTCTAAATGAAACTGTATTGCCATATCCCAACATCGCTCTGATAGACTTTTTTTGGAGAAGAAAAATAGTAGAACTATGAGATGAGTTCCCCCAAAAGATGATACCATAGCTCATTAAGGAGTGAAAAAAGGAATAATAAATTACATTTAAAGCTGAAATAGACATATAACATATCATATTTCTAATTACTTAACAAGACTTATTTTTTTACAAATAAATCAATGTAATTCTTCCATATTGAGGCACTATCAACTATAACTCCCAAGAATTTAGTACTGAAGGTACTGTTGATAAACTTATTATTATATGTGTAGTATCATCAACACCAAAAGAATATAATAGCGAAAAGTTTGTGAAACAGTGCACAAGGTTCTGGATAACTCTACATTGTAATTTTTCTGGCATAAATGCCATTATTTACACGGGTTACTTACAAGTACAGTAATGTTGTGTACAAGTTCAATTCTGCCAACTTGAGTCATGGCTGAAATGGTTACTGAAATATCTCCTTGTTCCACAACAGGAGCAATTGGCATGTCCACATGTTGCTGTGCTCCAGCTGGTAGCTGCAGAACAGAAATGATCAGTTTTCATACCTTTTCTAAAGTCTCTTATATGAGCATTGAATAAATTAAATATGTTACAAATACAGTTGCTTTTGAGTTTTAAAAGTTTCTCTAGATGTTGTTACAAAGAGTTCAAGAGCTTCCAAAGAGGATGAATTTGCCCTGCTTGAATGCATAAACATTATCTTCTAACAGGAAATTGTTTTTTATCGTAAGAGCTACTTTACACTGGATGACACACCCCCCCGGTATTCATTGGATGATCTAATGGAAGGCTGATGGTTCCCAAAGATATTATAAAATTATTGTGAAGAAAGAATCCTAATTCTCGTCTTAGAATTACTGGACTTTTGGGCTTTGTCCATCAGAACATATTCCAAGAACTTGAGAACATAACATTTTAGAAACTGGATCTGTTTCCTTCCTCAGGTAAGGAGGGAGACAACTATTCTGTTGTGTCCCTTTGGAAGAGCCAACCAAGGCATTTTATAAATGACCCAACAGAGTAGGTGTCTCCCCTTTTCATCTGAGGACAGATACAAATCCAGTTTCCAAAATGTTGCATTCTCTAATTTTTAGAATATCAGACAATGGACGAAGTCCAAAAACCCAGTAATCCTGAGTGTTACACATCATTCTCAGAACCCCTTATAATCTAGTCTTATCAGAAACTGAATTTTGGTCATCCTGTATACAGCTACGGGCTGACCTAATATGGTCCATCACATTTAATTACTTACGTAAACTAGATGCTGATGATCTCCCCCTGAAAGCCTTGCACCATAACTTGTGACAATGCCGCCTTCTTCCACATGGACAAATTTGTATTGAGGGGAGGTATGGAGAGTCAAAACAACGAACATCTCATATGGCTCATTGTTCAAAAGCAGCAGCCTCAAGCCAATCTGTTCACCACGACGACACATAGTGGGACCTTCAATGTGCATCATAAAGGGCCGAGTACTGGAAAACTAAACACAAATATCTTTACAGCTTTTTCCATGCTACAAAAAAAAAAAAAAGAAGTTCTGGACAAATCTCATAATGCCTATTTTCCCATTACAGAGAATTCTAACTGTAAATGTCATATGTAAGCAAAGCACATTTATAACCCAATAACAACAAATAATTTAGCTCATGGGAGACAGCAGGACCAGTAATATTAATTTTCTACTTGAGAACTTGTTATTTCTACAGTTTCTGTGTTGAATTTGTATATAAAATTGAAGTTTACAACATCCTCATTCTTTTTTTCTTTTTTTCTTTTTTTTTTAATTTTGACTTCCAAACAATGCAGAATTTGTATGTATATCTATGGTCTACTTCCAAACCAAATTTCAGATTCCTAGTTCCAATGGTCCATTAGCTATTACCATCCAACCAAACCATAGGGTTTATGTAGCTGCCACGTTGTTCTGCATTCTACAAAGGAACAAATGTTGCATATTTTTCAAAGATCTCTTACCATACATCATTTCAATACCTTTTATTAAGCGGAAATACTGTCACTCCAGTCTTGCAAGTTCTTGCACCCACATTATTCTTATTACTGACTGTAAGATATTACAATGCGCAGGACTGGAGTGGCCTCCAATGCCATATGTGTATGCCAGATTCCTTGAAAATTCATCAATTTGATCAAAAGTTGAAAAGGGGCAAACATGTGAACAGATGCACATAAGCATGTGCTCTGTGTGTGTGTGTGTGTGTGTATGTATGTATGTATATATATATGTATATATACATATATATATTCATATATATATATATATATATATATACACACAATATATATTGTGATATGCTGCGCTATGGAGGACACCCTTCACCCCACCCCCCACCAGCGGTGACGTGCCGAGCAGAGCCAAAGTGAGCCAAGTCCAAACACAGCCTTTGCTAGGCAAAGCGAGTAAACAGCAGTGATGTAACATGGAACGCTGCAGTTGCTACGTAGCCATAAACAACTCCCAACAGCATTGCTAGGCTATCGGCAAACACGGCGACTAGGTAACAAGGAAGCGAGGCATTTCCCGTTGTCCGGCTGAGGGTTTATAAGAGAACTACACAGCCTACGGAGACAGTTAACGTGTAGCCGTCCCCGGAGACAGTTAAAGTGTATCAGCCGCCGAAGTGAGTTCTCAAGGCAGCAGCCTACGAGTTGAGTTGGAATCTAGCCAGCAGTGAGCAGTTAGTGTGTGAGCCAGAGCAACACAGTTGGAATCTAGCAGCAGTCGCAGAAAGAAGAACCGGATGCGTGTGATAATCAGGGATAGTTTGTGATAACTGAGAAGTAATTGGGAGAGTGTAACACAGTGACACTTATATAGCTCCCGTACTGTGAATATGTGTAGACTACTGAAGATAGAGTGAACAGATTATTGCGAATAGGGTTATAAAGTGTGAAACCCCGCAACAGTGCGACGAAAGAGTGAAGAGATTATTGCGAATAAGGTTATAAAGTGTGAAACCCCGCAACAGTGTGAAGACAGAGTGAAGACAGAGTGAAGACATTATTGCGAATAGGGTTATAAAGTGTGAAACCCCGCAACAGTGTTATAATCAATTGTAGTTACGACTTGTAGGTTGTTAAATAAACCAATTAACAATCTGAACAGCGTCTTCAGTCAGGAAACATGTTACAATATATATATGGTGACCTCATAAGCCTACTTTTTTTCTGAAGAAAGGAAGTAGACTATTTGTTGTGCAACTGTCCAAAATTATATCTTTTCATAGACAAAAAGTTTGTAGGAAAAATTATTACCGCTATTAGTAATATTAAATACTTGCTGCAATTGGTGTGTTGATGGTGGTGAAGCCTCGAATTCTGCTGAGAGTGAAGCCTGTGAAATACCATTCATCTGCAACGGCTGGCATATCCATTGTAAAAAACTCCTCCCCTCCGAAGTCTGCATTCATCTCCTTCCAGCTCCAGTCATTACCTGCAGTGTCATACAACTCCTAGAAAACATAAAATAGTTACAACAGTTCTAGCTCCTTGAAACTAAACTGCAGATTCCTCTACATAAAGAGCAAACATGCTTTGTTGTCTTACATGATTTATTCATTTGACAAATGGTAATAACATTACAGACTACTGTTAAAGTCATATACTTCAAACATGATACAACAAATCAAAATCAATTAGATTTTTTAAATTAACTGCAGATCTCACCTAAGCATATATAAGACTATTTATACTTCTCTGATAAATTGTCATCAGGAATGTTACTATATTTTCCTCCACACCTGGTAAGGTCAGATGATTATGTGAGACTTCAAGCATAATCATGACCCACTGATGTGATTAATTATGCACGAGCCAATATATGAGTAGTCTGTGTATAGCATGAGACCAAGAACTTAATTTATGCTTACATCAGATCGGCTCATTCTCAAAATTCTGTATTCATACTGGTCATCATCTTGTAGAGGGCCTGCAACACACCACCAGCATGAACACTAAAATGTTACATGCATGTGAAACATTACCCACATACAGGTAAGGGCTGATATCAAAATATGAACTCATGAAAGTATTAATTTACATGAAAAACATGAACATATTTAGTGCATCTACAAACAGATTTAAATAGAAGGCTCAGAGATTTGTTATTTTTTGTGTGTCTGTACTTCAAACAGAATATTTCATAAGTGATATATCTGATTTGCCCCAATAACATTTACTGCTTGTGGACTTCAGAATGTAGTTTTAGTAGGAATTTTTACTGTTCATTATGAAGCACAAAATAGCTGCAGTATATGTGTTAAATTTCCCTTCATGAGGACTCACAGATCTCTAAAGTGTCATCAACTGAAGTTATGCCATCGTAATTACTTGCATTCTATTTGCCACTAAACTGATAAATAATGTTAATGCACTTCCAAAGATATTTGAATATGAGTAGATTCCAGATTTTTTAAGAGAATATTAACTTTTCAATATGACAAGTTTAATTTATTTCTATGGTATCTGCATAAATGAAACTTCCTTTAGTACATTTATGTATATTTGCCTGAACACTTCTGTGAATGAACACCACATTGCACCACATCCCCACCCACACTACAACTGCAAAAAATCTACCACTCTTGTAACATAAGTTGTACTTTTTAAATTATTTATTAGTAGTCATATTGTTTTATGACATTAAGTGCTGATATTTACAATATCCATAATTATCAATAATTTTCATGAACTTTCTTACTTAGACAGTTTAGCAAAGTAATTCATCATTGTGTTTCCTTTTTCCTGAAAACAAAGTGATGAATCAATTTCCAGTTTAATAAAAAATATCCTTCAGTAACATTAAACATGCTCCAAAAAATTGTAATAAAATAGCATTCCCAATATGACTGACCCCACAGGTGTTATGAACGCAGTGCAGTCTGTGATATATAGCACAATTAAACATGAAGTCCTGGAAGAAATAATCACTACTTTTCTCTGATATGTCATGGACCACATACAAAAAGCCACATCAAACCGTTCTTCTGTTGTTGCCAGTGTATTTGTCACTGTAGTAACATTTTTACTGAGCCATAAACTACCAATGATAGGGGGAGACACAAACAGACACACAGAATAATAGGAGGGATTTATTAAGTAAGCTGTTGTGATATTACAGCAACAACAAACCCGTATACTTGGTCACCAAGCACCAAAATTTTCATTATGGAGCTTAATGTTATCTGGTGTATTATATTAATGTTTTCCATCTCCACATATGAACAATTTTAAGATCTCCAGCTTTCATTCCAGTTCTATCATGCATTTAACAGCTTCTGCTGATGGTAAAACCAGATGCCTTTTATATTCAAATAAAGATTATTCACCAACAGAAATGCGTGGAACATATCTCCAAAACACTCAGTAAGTGTGCATATGTGCTTGAGGGTTTATGAAACAAGCAAAAATGGCTGAATACTGTAAAGTACCATATTCTGAAAAATCTGAAATGGATTTGCAAAGGTAACTACTGAATGATTCCATCACAACATGAAAAGTCTGTGAAATTAATATGTATTTCACATTCACGCAATAAATGTACTATATTACAGTCATACTTTTATTTACATAATTGTTCCTCAAATATGGAAGTGGCATCTAAGTCCATAGAGAATTTGCTAGGGCCTGGTTTAGAAATTTAACAACACAAAGGAAAACTCTCCCTGCTTAAATGGGTATAGCAAAAATCTGAAGTGTACAGTTTTTCTGATGGCCTAAATTGTGCAGATGTCAAAAAACAGTGTCAGGTTGAGATATGATATATGTTTGTCATTTTAAGAAAGAGAACAAAATGCATACAGTGATCTGAGAAGATGAATTAAAATAAGATAATTAAAATAACAGTTCATGCATCTCACTGACATGTTCAATATGATCAGATGTTTAAAAAGTACTCATGACAAATAAATCTCACAGTTATATACTTTAGATGTTATGTGCTTGACTTGTTGGTAAATAATATTTTAATCTAGCATTTATACTTGATTATTAAAAATTATAATATTTTGATAGTAGACGGCACTCAAGTATACTTGATGTCCGATCATTCAGGGCAGCAGACTGTGATACTGACCGCTACTTGGTGGTGGCAAAGTTAGGGAGAGACTGGCAGTGAGCAAACAAACAACACACTGAGTTCATATGGAGAGGTTCAATCTCAAGAAATTAAACAAGGTAGAGGGTAAAAAACAGTATCGTGTTGAAACCTCAAAGAGGTTCACAGCTTTGGAAAACTTGGAAATTGAGGTGGATGTTAATAAACGTTGGGAAACTATTAGAACGAATATAAAAATGTCTGCCAAAGAGAGTCTAGGTTATTATGAACTGAAGAAGCATAAGCCATGGTTCGATGAAGGATGCTCAAAATTATTAGATGAAAGAAAGCAGGCCAAATTGCAGTGGTTACAGGATGCAAGTGAGTTAAATGGGGATAATCTTGAACAATATAAGACGTGAAACCCGCAGGCATTTCAGGAAAAAAAAGAGGGAATATCTGAAAGACAAAATTGATGAGCTTGCAATGAACAGTAAGAACAAGAACATTAGAGACCTGTATAGAGGAACAAATGACTTTAAGTGGGGTTACCAGCCTAGCAGTAACTTAGTGAAGGATAAGAATGGTGATCTGCTTGCAGATTCCCACAACATTTTGAATAGGTGGAGGAACTAATTTTCATTCATTCATTTTTATTTGTTCACAAGATCTACATTTCGCGATATTGCCTCAGATATAGAACACGTCTCTCAGTTATTGAATGTACATAGGGTCAGTGCTGTTAGACAGACAGAAATCCATACAGCTGAGCTGTTAATACCTGATCCTAGCCCTTTTGAGGTTGAGAGTGCTATTGCAAAATTGAAACGGTATAAATCGCCAGGTAGTGATCAAATTCCAGCAGAACTTATTCAAGCAGGAGGTGAAATATTATGTTCTAAGATCCACAATCTAATTACTTCTATTTGGCATAAGGAAAAATTGCCTGATCAATGGAAGAAGTCTCTTATTGTACCAGTTCATAAGAAGGGTGATAAAACTGACTGTAGTAATTATCAGGGGATATCACTGCTATCAACTTCATATAAAATTTGGTCCAATATTTTTCTTTCAAGGTTAAGTCCATATATAGATGAAATTATTGGGGATCATTAATGTGGGTTTTGACATAACAGATCAACTACAGATAAGATCTTTTGCATTCATCAGATATTGGAGAAAAAATGGGAGTACAATGAGACAGTACATCAGCTATTCATAGACTTCAAAAAAACCTATGATTCAGTTAGGAGGGCAGTATTGTACAATATTCTGATAGAGTTTGGGATAGTCATGAAACTAGTTAGGTTGACTAAGATGTGTTTAAATGAAACGTATAGTAAAGTCCGTGTAGGCAAATATTTGTCTGATAAATTTCCTATCCAGAATGGTCTAAAACAAGGAGATGCTTTATCACCACTCCTTTTCATCTTTGCCTTAGAATATGCAATTATGAAGGTCCGGGGAAACCAAGTGGGACTGAAATTAAATGGGACACATCAGCTGTTGGTCTATGCTGATGATGTGAATCTAGTGGGTGATAATGTAGATACCATAAAGAAAAACAAACAAACTTTAATTGATGCAAGTAAAGAGAATGGTCTAGAAGTAAACACAGAAAAAACCAATTAGATGTTACTGTCTCATCACCAAAATGCAGGGCAAAATCATGACATAAAGACAGGAAACAGATATTTTGAAAATGTGGCACAGTTCAGATATTTGAGAACAAGGATAATAGGTCGAAACCTGATTCAGGAGGAAATTAAGAAACGATTGAACTCGGGTAATGCTTGCTACCATTCAGTCCAGAACCTTTTTGTCTTCTCATCTGCTGTCCAAAAACATAAAAATTAGAATATACAAAACTATAATTTTTCCTGTGGTTCTGTATGGGTGTGAAACTTGGTCTCTGACATTAAGGGAGGAACATAGACTAAGGGTGTTGAGAAGAATATTTGGACTGAAGAGGGATGAAGTGACAGGAGGTTGGAGAAAACTGCATAATGAGAAGCTTCATAATTTGTACTCTTTTCCAAGTATAATTAGAATGATCAAGTCTAGGAGGATGAGGTGGGCAAGTCATGTAGCATGAATGGAGGAGGCTAGGCATGTGTATAGAATATTGGTGGGAAAGCCAGAAGAAAGAGACCACAGGGAAGATCAAGGCATAGGTGGGTAGACAATATTAAAATCGATCTCAGAGAGATAGAATGGGATGGTATGGATGGGATAGATCTGGCTCAGGAAAGGGACCATTGGAGGGCTCTTGTGAACACGGTAATGAACCATCGGGTTCCATAAAATGCTGGGAAATTTTTGAGTAGCTGCAGAATTGACAGCTCCTCCAGAAGGGCTCAGCTCCATGAGTAAGTAAGTAAGTAAGTAAGTAAGTAAGTAAGTAAGTAAGTAAGTAAGTAAGTAATATGCTCTTGAAATATTTAATGCAATGAGACCACTTCTTTTTAGGTGATAATGATTAAAACTTTTCCCTAGAAATATATTTCCTGGTACTCTCAGGCTCTGTTTTAGTTCAAAGGCCAAAACCTACAATGCAGCAACAGATGTGACACTTTCAGCAAGTTTCCTGGTATGAATCAATTGCTTGCTAGTATATGTGCTGACAGAAGAAATTATTGATAACAATGAAACCTTGGTTTCCTCAACATGGATATTTTTGATCAGATGAATAACTACTGACTGTTCTGGGAACATCCTACAAGAAATTAAGTTGGTAACAGGTAACAGTACAAGAGATTAAACTGATAACAGGCATTAACAGTAATATATAATTATCAAAATGGTGTAATATAAACTTACAATCACTTTCATCAGACCAGTCTGCACAGTCATTATATCCATCACACATCTTGGTTGACAAGAAGCACCCTTCACTGAAACATGGCTTATAACCTTTCTTCTCATGACAAGAATCTGCAAACGAATTGTACATGGTTGTTAAACACACTTTATTGATAATAACTGCTCTGTTCGACACTGCCCATACTGTCATCTGATTGAGGGACTATAGATGGGGTTTGGATTGGTGATCAGATTTATTGAATATTTACAGAACCTAACTACAAATAACTATGAGTCTCACTGGGTTACGCACTCCAAAGATCAGTGTAACTACAGCACTGTCCCTAGTCTCAGCATGGACTGCACAGAAAATGTCTCTTGCATAATTGAATTTATTCCCTAGCACTGGCTGTTGTACTGTTGCCTGTCTACGCAGCCGTTACTTGGCATTGGGTCTACATGTCACAATATTTCTTAATGTCACTGACAGTGTCAGGCACATGGTTGTAACTTGGCATGAGTGTTTAATGATTGCATATATACTGCTATTTTCTGCTTGACACTTTTAGCAGTCTGATTATTTCTGTACACACATTTAATTTGTGACAATATTCTGAAGCCTGCTACAATGTGCTGTACACAAAGAAGAAGAAGAAGAGGAAGAAGAAGAAGGAGGAGGAGGAGAGAAATTGGTAAGGTAAATGTCTTTCATTCTATATTTCGTCTAGATATGAGGGTTTACTTCATCCCAGAAAGCAGTCACAACATCTACTGATCATTGTGGTTAAGTATTTGGGAATCCTCCTTTGTCTTTAGGAGGTCTTCACTTTTGATCCTTAGTTCAGAATCTGGCTATCATGACTGAAGTTTTCCTTAGTCACTCCCATAAAATACAGAGAGTGCAAATAAATAAATATAAATAAAGCATATGATTGCATCAGCAGCAGCAATAATAATGAGGTTCCCCTCATTATATGCTATGTTCTCTCAGTGAGGAGAATGGTTCTATAAGTTATTCACTAGCCCATGATAGTCACATTAATGTGTCTCCTGTTCCTGCTTCCCATATTTTGTTGTTTTAACTCCTTCCATGGTGAGTTCTTTTGAGCAATAATGCTTTGCATACTTTCATGATAGCTCATCAATATAGCCTGTGGCATTCTCAACAAACTGCAGAAGCATCTTCACTATAACATAAAGATATTCAGGGCAGCAGAAGGCAGTTTAAATTTGTATATGTCATGAGAAACATGGAAACAGATAATGTATCTGAAGAAATAAAATAAACAGTTAAATACTTTATTAAGGACACTTGACCCAGAAGAAATAAAAAATTGAATTAAGTATGACAGAGACATTCAGTTGATAAATCTGTTTATTCTGATGAAATATAATAATACTGCTTACCAGTTAATTTTCTGATTGGTAGATATGCATCAGTAAAGATAACTACACCAGAAAATGTTAATGTCTCATAGCTATTCTTTCCATAGCTCATCCTTGAGAAATATGAAACCTCATCTGGAAGTAATCCTTGTCTTGACCTCCACTTTACTTTAGGTTCTGCTCTGAAAGAAGAGAAAGAAGGGTAAACTGATCATGGAAAGAATTTTCTGCAAACTGTAATTATTGTATGAAAGAGCATACCTTGTGAAGTTTTCAAATGCATAAAAGCTCTCTGTGACACGAGATCTGTTAATATCATTTCCAGCTTGCATAAAGTATGCAGTACTTCTCACTGAATTTATTCCCATGAAGGCTCCAGCTTTGGCAGTCATTACAGCTTGTGCTGTCTTCTTTGTGTGGTCTTTGCCTTGATTCACCACAAGAGTTATCTAGAGGAACAGAATACCAGTTAAATGTTATTTTTGTATATGCAATAATTTATATGGTTCCTCCTTTGAGATTTATGAACTTCTTTGTAGGAATGACAGTAGATTACGAGAATAATGTTAATATTATGCATGGATTTTGTATAAAGTCTCTGGTTATGATATTAATAACTATAGGTCAGAGTCTGAAAAAGAGATCAGAATTACCAAATATCTTTTAAACATCTGCTACCAAACATCTATAATAGTCTTCCATTAGTGTAAAATATGAAGTCGTAAGCCCATATAAAATGACAAGTGAAAATATAATGTCATATAATTTGGTCTTTAGGGTTCTAGACAAAAGATAAGAAGATAAAATTTTATGAAATGAGTAGTAGCAAACATTTCCTATATTTCATATATTCTTAATTTTGTCATCAATGTCATTTCTTTGGTACAACCTGCTTCATGGTAATAAGTCACAAATGTTAACAATTAGGCTGCTTTCAATTTACCTCTAAATCAGTTAGTCTTATGAATGATAGTTTTAATTATTATACTATATTCCCTGGAGAAACCTGTTAAGTGTACAACACTATCTTTACCACTTTTCCGTCAGTTTCATGTTATCTTTCCAATAGAAGATATCATGTCCCTATGGGACCCTATTTTATATTTATAGATGAGATGTTTTTGATTTATGCATCATTAAGGGGTCCAAGATGAAATTAGAAGCATCTATGTATAGCAGTAGAGGTGTATGATTCCTGAGACACAAAGATTTGAATAGCAGTCCAGCTGGATTTAAGGGACAGCAAGTGGGGGAGTAGCCACTGGACCTCCACAAAAAAATAACACAGATTTTATTGCAGTATTGAACTCATCAAAATAAGACTTGATTGCAGAAGTACAATTGTGTCAACAGCAAACAACCACACACAACCAAAAGCACCAAATAACCATAATTTACATTGTCATTCATAAACAAAATTACAAGGAATATAGTTATTAAATGTTATACATGCTCAGCAGAAATATATTCATCTATTGAATAAAAAGCATTTGGTGTGAGGAAACTTTTCAGTGTGTGTTCAAAAATCTTCACATTATAACTCATCCTTTGTATATTTTTAGGAAGATTATTATAAACCATAATGGATGAATATAACGCACCTCTCTGGATTGAAGATAATCTCACTGATGACACATGTAGCTTTCCAAACTGTCCAGTGTTTATATGATGAATATTATTGTTGGTTTGAAAAAAATTGCGATTTCTAACAACAAACATCAATATAGAATAGATATATAGGCTAGGAACAGCCAAAATACCCAACCTCTTAAAACCTTCTCTAAACGACTTTCCAGGACTTCATCTCAGCATAACCCTAATCGCTCTTTTCTGGGAAACAAAAAACTTTTCATAACTGGAGAAGAACCCCAGAATATACTACTATATTCAAGCTGAGACTGATAATAAGAAAAATAGACCATTCGAAGAGCTTGTTCACTGACAAGAGACTGTAACTTCCTGAGCATAAAACACGCTGTATTCAGTTTCTTTAATAATTTTTCAGATTGTTTTTTCCAATTAAATTGACAATCTAAATACATACCTAAAATTTAACATTATCAACATCTTTAAGTCTAATATTATTATATGTTACTGAAAATGTATACTCTGGAGACTTAGGAGTCACAAATTTAATCAGGTGAGTTTTACTCAAATTAAGTACCAGATTGTTATTTTGAAACCAGCTTGAAACCCTAGTCATAACTCTATTTAATTTAATATTCAGAGAGTTTAGGTCATTTGAGGTAATTAAAATTGTTGTGTCATCAGTGTACAAAATAGTACATGCTATATCCTTAAACAATCCTTAGGCATTAAACAACACTGGTCCCAGGACAGATCCCTGCGGAACACCAAACATTACAGATTCCCATTTAGAGATTGTAGTAGTTGAATTACAAGTATGCAGCACAACTCTTTGCATTCTATTTTTTAAATAAGTCTCCAACCATTTCAAAATAGGTCCTTTGACTCTATACATCTTCAACTTTTGAATCAACAGATCATGACTGACACAATCAAAGGCCTTTGTCAAATCACAAAAAATACCTACCACAAACTCCTTATTGTTCCATGCTTTAAGAACAGTATCAGTTAGATTAAAGACTGAGTTTTGTGTAGAAACATCCTTACAAAAGCCATGCTGCTCAGGAGCCAGGATATAATTTCTTATAAAATGCTGTTTAAGCCTACTAAACACTAATATTTCAAATAATTTAGAGAAACTTGTCAATAAAGATATCGGTCTATAGTTGGCAATTTCAGTAACATCACCTTTCTTAAAACATGGTATAATATTTGCATATTTCAATCGGTCGGGACATATGCCCAAACTTACAGAAAGATTATAAATATAAGTAAGTGGTTTTGCTATGTGTTCACCACATAATTTAATAATTTTATTTGACAACCTATCATATCCACAAGAAGATTAATTTTTAATGAATTTATTGTGCTTACTTCTGCCTCAGTAATTGGAATATTTACAATTTCAGAAATCTTATCTGTAGAGTACTCACATGAAAGTGGTAAAAAAAATACATTGTTAGAACTTTGACCAACTAATTTGTTAACTGAACTAAAAAAATATGATTTAAATGCCTTAGCTTCAATCCTACTATCGATTGTTCCATTACCTTCTCTCAATTCCGAATATGAATGTTTTTCCTTCGACTGCCTACCATTTTCTCTCTTTATGATTTTCCATGACTCCTTGGATTTGTTAGATGCAGCCATTATTATTCCCTCATAATATATTGTATAGCTTTAGCTCTTCTGATAACTTTTCTCAGCAACGTACAATATCGAGTATAATACTCCTTTAGGCCTGGGTAATTAGTAGATCTAATCGTCAAATACAAATACTTTTCTTGCCTACATGAAATTTTAATTCCTTTAGTAATCCACTGGTTAGAATACACCTTGTTTTTGACAAATTTCACTGGAAATCATGTTTAAAAAAATCATTAAAAAGATATTTAAAAATAGATTAAAACTTTTGTTAACATCAAGATTACTTAAAACACTTTCCCAGGTTTCCCTACTCAACATCTCACTAAAAGCTATGATGCCAGACTCAGATATAACTCTTCTTTTAACTAATCCACTCTTAGTCCTTTGGCAGTTCACAACATTACTAACAATCAAATACTAAGCATCATGATCTGAAAGCCTATTGATTACTGAGTACACCTGTAAAGTATTTAATCTGCTGTAATCCAAAAATATACTATCAGTAACAGTACTGGTATCAGTTGTAATCCTAGTTGGAAATTTGACAACCTGAAACAGGTTATACATCTGAAATAGTGAAATAAGCTTAAGAGATTTACTTGAATTCTCTAAAAAATTTACATTAAAGTCTCCACATATTATTAATTCAAGTTCAGGCTTGTAAACAGATTTCACTATTAGTTTGAACTGCTTAATAAATTCCTCTACATTTCCACAAGGAGATCTGTAAATACATAGTATTATAAAATAACTATTACCAATATTTAATCAGACTGCACAGGCCTCAATCACCTTTTCCATGCAATATTGTGTTATATCAATTGGATTACAGTCCCTATCCAATTACAATATATACAAACACCTCCACCATTACTTAATGATCGTGAGAATTGGGAGGTTAAACAATAATTTTCTGATTTGATCAATAAATGTTTCTGCTCGGTTAAGTAATGTTCAGTTATACAAATTACATGTGGGCTTAAGTCATGACTAATTAAAATAAAAATCAGTTCATCAATTTTATGTTGTGGTCATCCCAGCAGGGGAAAACAGATGCAGCAGAAGTCTACAGAGTTAATCATTCACCACTGATACATTCCTCACAGCATATTCATAATCATTATGTGGAAGAGTGACAAGCATGTGAATAGGGTGGCCTCATAAACCCAGCCCAGCTATATGTCCACATATTGATGACACTGAAATGTGAACAGCAAAGAAGGAAGATACAGCACTGAAAATAAACAGATATCCTGTCATTTATAGTGTTCAGGTGTTTACAGCAGTGAGTGTTAAGATGATAGATTTATTGATTGTAACACCGTGTATTACTGTAGATGGATATCAATGTTTTGAAAGAGCTACCTCAAGCTACAGTACTGGAGGAGTTGTGATGAGGATGTGGTCAGGTTATACAGGCAGGATGCAAGGATGGTGGTTGCTCAGATCAACAGGTGGGGGAAGGGCTAACTCTCACTTCCAACTTTTGTTTATGGGGTCCTGAACAGGTCTCTTTCTCACAATTTTATGGTCCGCTGAAGAAACTTCTCTGTCCCTTATGAGGACCATTTCTTATCACAATTTTTCTTCACCATTCTTACTAGCCTCAACAAGGAATATACTTCCATGCTCTTACTGAAATTTAATTATCTGGATCTCTTTTAAGTCCATAATTTTGTTAGACTTGAAAGGATTCTGACGATGGTGTATACTGTACTTCTTTTGGCTTATTTTGGACTTCACCCAATGTCTGGTATATAAAAGACAAAAAAAAAAAAACACGTTTGGGAGACTGGACCTGTCTCCGTCTTCAGGTGAATAGGGAAGGATAAACCTACTCAGTTGGGCCCCTTAGAAAGAGCTAGTCTCAATCACTGGATTGAGTGATTGGTCCAGTCTCCGAAACGTCGTGGTTTTTTTTTTTTGCCTTTTATATACCAGACGATGGGTGAAGTCCAAAATAAGCCAAAAGAAGTACATAATTTTGTTGTTACTATTCATTTCCATTATTCCTATTTGCCTGGTCTTGGCTTCATTCCTTCAGTGACGGAGACGTTAAAGGTCTTATGAAATTTCAGCAATATAGTCTAAATCTACATGCTGCTATTACCCAGAAACAGATTCCACAGTAGCACTGAGCTGCCATGAATGGTTGAAGTACTGTGCAAGATTCACAGAATGAATCTATGAGCATGATTATTCTGTACAGACAGACAGACAGACAGACGGACGGACGGACGGACGGACGGACGGACACACAGACAGACACACACACACACACACACATACATACATTGCATTCTGTACATCCAAATTAAGTCAGAATGACTAGGATGTGGAACAAGTCATACAAATACAAAAGCCATAAATACAGTACAACTGAGCCACACACAAAAAACAATACATCCACATATATAAGTCAATACCGTCAACTTAAGATATGTACATAACCTTTTAAAAGGATGAGTCATTTTTAGACAGTGGGAATTCATCATCAACAGAGTAGAATGAGTGTGTATTTAAGTATCTTTTCAGTGCTAATTTAAATTGCACCTTTTCATTCATTACACTTATGAGGCTAGATGATAGATTGTTGAAAATTTTAATGCCAGAATAATATGCTCTTTTCTGAAAACATGTCAGGTTAGCAGCCAGTTTATGGAGATGGTGCTTGTTTCCCGTGTTAACACTGTGTACATGCGAATTGGTCTGAAAACGATCTTGGTTATTTATAATGAAGCTTAATAATGAAAACATATATTCACATGGAAGAGGTAAGATCTGTAATCTCTTAAATAGCTCTCTACAAGAATTCTGAGGTTTTATGCTCACCATGATTTTAACAATTTTCAGTGTATCAATGTTGCTGACATGTAACAAAGCTCTTATTGCATAATATGCCCCACTTAACTTCAGAACCAATTGATCGATATGGTATTTCCGGTTTAAGTGGTTATCAATTTGTAAGCCAAGGAATTTTATGTGTACTGACTCTTCTATATATTTATTATTATATCCAATGCTTAATGGATATTGAGGTGTACAATAATATTTGTTATAAATTTTATTATATTTGTTTTATCTAGATTCAGGGCCAGTTTGTTAGCAGCAAACCATTTACTCTTATGAGAGAGAACACTGTTCAACGACATACAGAAATCATCTAAATTCTTACTAGAAATTATTACACTAGTGTTATCAGCAAATATTATGGGTATTGAACAGGTATTTATTGTTGTGGCAAGGTCATATATATAGATTATAAAAAGCAAAGGTCCTAAAATTGACCCCTGAGGAGCTCCATGCTCTATTGTTCTCCATTTTGAATAAGTACTTTGGGTTGCATTAGGTGATTTTATTTCAATCTTTTGTTTTCTATCTACAAGGTAGGATCTGAACCAACCTGCCATTGTTCCCTCAATACCATAAAATTGTAATTTAGTTAACAAAATTTCATGACTAACACAATCACAAGCTTTAGCTAAATCACAGAATATTCCACCTACATGCATTTTCTGGTTAATAGATTTTAATACACTGTCTGTTAGCGTAAAGGTTGCATTTTCAGTGGATATTCCCTTCCTGAAGCCGAATTGTTCTGGGACAAGTATATTATTAGTCTGCAAATAATGGCCTAATCTATTGTACATTAACTTTCTCAGGTACTTTAGAAAAAGTAGTTAATAGTGAGATTGTTCTATAGTTTGACATACTAGATTTGTCACCTTTTTTTGTATAGTGGTCTTACTATTGAAATCTTAAGGCGGTTACATAGAGATTCTAACACTGTTGCATTTTTGTTTCCTTCTCGTTCAGTCCATACACACTGGACCAATTCTGTCATATTTACCTTCACCCAGCCTTTCCTGCCAAGACTTTGTCTCCAATTCAGATAAATTTTTATTAAGAAAAATTTGAGCCTGTGCAGGAATGTTCACTTTTTGCTAATATATGTTATGGAATCTATGTTTAGGAATTTTATCAATTTATACTTTTCAGAAAATATATGTCAAAATCAAACCTGCAAAAAAGTGGCTATAGTTGTAGAAATGTATGACTATCTATAGACATAACGGTCTCTGAAACAGACCTTAATTTATTCATAAAGTTCTGTTGAGCTCTAATAAAAATGATATTCTATTTTCCTAATATATCTTAAGAAATTCTGTTCTAGAATCTAAGAAATCTAACTATTTTATGAAATGTCTGCAGATACAGTTGTATAAAAAAGTTCTGGGAAGAACTAATCACCTACTTTCCATTGGTACAATATGGACCAAACAGAACATGACGCCTCCAACAATTCTTCATTGCCATGGGTATGACTTTAATGGGTTGTTACCTAGCAACAATAGGGGATACACAGAACCACAGATACACAAGTCCAACCATTTTTCTATTGTTGCTTATATTCATAGCCATGGGAATATGCTTACTGTGCTGTTGTTTAGCAATGAAAGGAAGGATATACTTCATTGAGGCGTTGCCTAACAAGGATAGGAAGGATACATATACAGACAGGCATTCAAAAGTTAATAGAGGGGAATTCACAAACACAAAGACACACAGACAGAATTGAGATTGCATAAGCCTGTTTTCATTTTTTCAAAATAAGGAATGTATGCTATAAATGAGGTACCTGAGTTAACCTTTAAACGCCGGACTTCGAAATAGTGGTAAGCTTGAGCTGGCCGGAGATTATTTAAATGCCCGCTGCTGGTGCTCGTTTAAATGCCCATTACTACTCTGCATTTAAATGTCCGTTCCTGTTAGGCGCTTAATCAATTTTAAGCGTTGTGTTTAAAAATGCTCTATCTAGCTCAATTTTTATGATAAATGGATGGAAATAACTTTGTTTATTTCAGAAAAGAACATAGTGTCGCATATTATAAAGGAAGATTTGAAATTTTTAATACAAAGTGTTGTACTCTATTTTCAATTTTTTGTGTTTTAATTTTGATGCGTACTGCAAAAATGGTTTCCCAGTTCTTCACAGAGTTGTTCTGCATTATAACTTCATTTCTGTTTGTAACACTTGACAAATTTTAGCAGTCTCTGGTGTCATAAAACAGATGGAAGCAATAAAATCATTTGGTCTTCTGCTAGCGCTGCTTACACCCTTCGGATTTTCGAATACTTGACTGAAGGTCAGAAGAATGAAAGAATGGCTATTCAAGAGAAAGCTATAGGGGTCCCCTCTTCAGTGCTAAGATGTTCCGTTAGGGCTGCAAAAGCTTATTGCCCCTTCTATTTGAATGAACAGACAGCTGCATCGTGGCTGAGATACAGAGCGTGATCTGTTTTGTGTGCGTTCGTAGTGAAATCGAATACGGTAGTTTCATTTGAACCTATATATACATCATGAAGGTAATAATAAAAAAGGTATGTACATCGAATTTTACAATATATTTTTAACATACTTATCTGCAGAATCTGCAATAAAATTACTGGATTGTGGATAAGTTTTGGAATAACTCATACGTATATTTTTATTTGCTGTTGTTCAGTTAGGTACTATTTTAATTACTCTATTAGGGTTTTACTCAAGTCGGTCTGGTAATTACTGCATTTAAAAATACATATTTAGGACTGTGCATGCGCTTCTACTAGCGGCATGTGCGCGCGCTTCCACTAGCGGAGTTTAAATGCCTGAATGGCCAAAACTGGGTACTTTGGCCACGACGACCTTACTCATGACTGGCACAAACGGGGCACTTCGGCACTTAAAGGTTAATATGTCTTCTATCATGTTCCCAGGCTTTCTTATTTGCCATGTTTACATATAGCTCAGAATTATAACACAATATTAATAATGATGTTAATCACATACACTATTTTGGGCACATTTTAGAAAATGTACTTCAATTCTTTTGGCTAATATGATCTTTCTTAACTAGTATAATCGATCTGGTCTCCTGAATCTCAGACCAAGCTTCAGAACACCCAGTCCTTGTGAAGGAGGAGATGGCTGAATTATAACACAGAATGGAAGACTGCCTTACCTCAAATCCATTAAATCCAGTGACTGGAACAAAAACACTATCTGCAACAAGTTCTGCATGCAATGTCACATGATAAACAAGCAGTGTGAAGCCTGGGGCCATGTTTGTGTCTATGGGTATAGTGAAAGTAGTAGTTGTAGGAACAGGACTTTCCACAATATGTTCATCAGCAAACAACAGAAGACCTTTAGCAAGTACCTGCAAACAAATTGTATTACTGTCATTAAAACTAAATTTACTGCAAACAAATGCTAACCACAACTTTACATTGTTAAGTATATTTCATATTTTTAACAAAAAAAAATGTAGTAATTTTTTTGGGGGGAGAGGGTACATGTTAGGATATAAGAGCATGGAATATAAATGTGGTAACAGTATCCTTGTGACTAAGCACTGTTTAGTGGAGTTCATACATTCTTATCTGAAGCACTGGCTAGAAGAAATTTGTATCATATTTAAAGTGGCATTAAAGAAGTTTCTTATCACCAATTGCTTTTACACTGTTGAAGAGTACTACTGCTGGAATTAAGATCGATCCCTCATGTATATTTAAATAAACACCGTTGCCTATTGCTAGGATGCAACAGACTATGAAATAAAATACACAGGAAAAAGGTACTATTATTGTTGTGATATAGGTGTATTATATATATTAAGAAATTAGATTTTATATGACTATATTAAAAGTCTTGGTGGTCTCTTGATCATGTATGTAATTTTATATGTTATTTGATATATGGAATGTATTGTTGTACAGTAGTCTTGTTGTACTGAGTATTTAACATTTTGACGATGATGACTATCTGATTATGTATGTATATTCATATTTTATATTGTATTGCTGACTTGTTCTATATCTGAGGCAGATGTCTCCATAGAAAGCCCCTGATTTTCCACTGGAAAAATGCTGGTTGTGCCCCAGAGGCATTATNGGATTTTGTAGAACTGTAAATAAAAGAATGAATGAGTGAATGAATATACTCTGAAGAAATCCACTGATTTTCCACTGGAAAAATGCTGGTTGTGCCCCAGAGGCATTATGAATACTGCTATTTAGAATGATATTTTGCCTGACATCTAGGAAGATCAGTAGTAAATATGATCTTACCATATACTGAAATCTCTGCAGAATAAAATTTGTCTTCACATGGAACACAGCAAATTCTCCTACTTCTACATCAGCAGAGTTTGTTCTTACACTAATGTATTTCTTAGATGGAGAGTAATGTTGCATGATATTTATTTTAGCTTGCATGCTTTCTCCTTCTGAATCTTCATAGAAAGCTCTCAAGGTTAACTCCAGTACTTTTGGTGGGACATCAAACTTGAAGTACAGAACTCCTTCCTTCCAGTACCGTTCCACTGAAAGGATGTCAGCATATTCTGCTGTGTATCTTCTGCTACCATTCCATTCATTATCTCCTAAATTAGCTGAAGTCAGATGTTTGTCCATTGGCAAAGCCACTATATCAGGTAGGCTGAGAGTGCTGCCATTCTCAAACTGAACAAAAATCTCAATCCTTAATGTCGATTGAGCCAACTTCTCACTGGAAAGATGCTCCCCATCATTGTATGCAACAACCACCTGAACACACAGACATGACAGAAAGTGCAGTGAAATGATCTAAGATTCGGATGATAAATATATAAATAGAAAAATGTTATTTAAGCTTAAAAAGAAGTTACAGCTATGACCCAGTTTATGTGCCTTCAGCTCACTTGTTTTCATATGTATACAGATAACCCCCATTTAAGATTTCTTTTGGAAGCGTGGATCTGAAAACTAAACTGAAGGTTATCTTAAACAGAGGATACTGAACACTAAGGTAGTTGACTTACGGTCATCAAAACCGAATAATAAATAAGGAAAAACCTTAAATTAAAAAACATTAAATGGGACTTTCTCTGTATACACAAGTTTAATTCTTAGAAGCAGCCAATATTGTGACATTATGTCCTTAGTATATGAATTCTGTGCCATGCCTCATTCTGACTCATTTCTGAGGTCACATATCTTGATTTCCCCAACAGCAGCAGTATTTGAACCCTGGTATAAGCATATACAATGATATTTATATCTTATTTATTTACAATTTTTGTAGCAATAATTGAAACAGAGTGAGTTCAAATGTCAAGTCACTCAAACTAAGAAATTACATTTATTCACCAGAATCATAAGTTTCTGCTATGATTCTATTTCCTCTTCATCTTCCAGTTAACCCCCATAAACATCTACTTCTTTGTTTTGAGTCCATTAAGTAATCTTGAGAAGCATTTATTTTGAGTAATAATATTGCAGTAAATAAATAATATCTTTTGATGTTAATTCTTTAATCATCTTATTTATATGTTTAATGTGTTTCTGTTGCATTTCAATTATATTTCTCTTTTAAATAGTCAGAAACATCGAATTCACCAAATTTATAATTAAAAATATCTTTACAAAATTATAAGCTTTGTTCTTAACACTAAGTGAGGCAAAATACTTGATTTATGCATTTTTTACTTTATGCTAAGTATTCCAAGACTGCAATTACCATTATAAATCATATTAAGCCAGTAGTTTTTTGGAAAAAATCTAGATGTTTTGACAGAACAGTCAAAAACAGCAAACAATGAATGCATTATTAATCAGAGTTGAGAATTTTCTCTGAATTTTTGTCCCTGAATAATAATGATAACATAAATAAGCTATCAGTACACTTGCATATTTTATCAGTATTATTATTATTATTATTATTATCATCATCATCATCATTATCATGGCTCTACAGCCCTTTGTTGTGCCTTGGTCTCTTTTCCACTTTCTTGATCTTATACACAGTCAGAAGGACTACTTGGATGGGGAATCAGACCATCACAAGGCCTCTACCTACACACAGAATAAACGCACATGATACAGATATCCCTGCCTCAAGCGGGATTTGAACAAATGATCCCCCAGCATTTGATCAAACTAAGAGAGTTCATGTCTTAGACCATGTGGCCACTGTGATTGTCATGCTTGCATCATTAACTCAGCTTTATTAAAAATTCACTACATGTTTCTGCCTACATTAGCCATTTTTGGGTTTTTCATTATCAGATACATTAGGTGGTGAATCGTTATTACTCTCTAGTTATAGCTTAGTATGAACACAACAGGATCATTACATAAACTAAAAACAATTACACATATTTAAAAAATTCACATGTGTGCAATCATATCATGTCCATCCATACATACACATGTAATGATGCTAGTATAGCTGAATAATTAATGATTAACTTTCGCATTGTGAGTCCTTGTTAAAATCTGGCAGTCATATATGATTATTATCCAAACTGGAAAACAAAATTTACATAGAAATTTAACATAAAAAAGAAAGTTTGCTACAGAAGCCAGTGCACCTCAAGTTTGCCACACCATCTAATAACAAAAATAATAAAAATGTCATACTTTTATCTGCATAATTAAATTCCAATAAACCATTCACATGAGAGACAATAACTTCAAATGCCCAGTCAGAACAGCAAACTGTCATTAAAATTACCAGCAGGGAAGGGCCAGAAACAAGACATTGTAGATTATTCAGTGTGAAGCAGACTCCATTGTGGATAACAGTGACTACATCTAATGCAAGTTTTTGGATTAAACGATAATTCTTCAATTACTAAGTACACTTTTCACCTGTGACTTTAATTATATATAGTCAAATGGTGAGAATTTCTTTGAACATGGTTCATTGCCTGGATAAAAGATACTGTATATAGAGAATTTCAGAGGGTAGCTCAATCTTAAGTCTTTGGGAAGAAAAAAGAAAACCTACCAAGAAGGAATTTGTAAACTCAAGTGAGAGACAGCATAAAGAAACTATAGAATTCAGTATGTCACAAGCAGGTATAATGCATAAAAGAACAGATATAAAAAAAAGTATCAGTTGGATTTAAGATTCTCACACCAGTAGCTAGGAATTAGTCTGACTTCTGAGATCTAACCAGATCACATGCCATTATATACCAGAAGACAGAACTCTTCAAAAGAACACAACAAAACAAACAACAAACTCCGTGATTTTAGTCTGTAAGCGAACTATACTGACTGAACGACCACCGCTTGTCGGCGAAGTTTAGTGCCAACTTTTGCGGATAGAGGGTGTCACATGGTCAGCGCAACGAATCCCCAAGGCCGTTAATTTCGGTTTTCTAGACCGGAGCCGCTAATTATTTAAAATAGCTCCTCAATTATCATCACAAGCCTGAGTGGACCCCGTTCCAGACCCACTACTTCTCCAAAAAAAAAATCTGGTAGTGCCGGGAATCGAACACAGACATCTGGATCTGTAGCTAAGAACGCTGACCACTAGACCACAGAGGCAGTCTAAAAAGGATAAGCATCAGGAAATGACCAAGCTTGTACTGGAATGAAAGACAACCAGAATTCTGATAATATATACTTATGTGTTGCCTGGATTCACATTTCATAAGTGCTCCTGTGATTTAGACTTTAGATTACAGTCTTCTTCCTGAATAATCAGTATCCACATCAGTGGTATATCTAAACTGCTTGGCTCCATAGTTATTCTGAACAGAACATGTGGACCAGTTCTGTAATTTTTGTGTCCTGTATTAGGTTCTGACTCTGGTGGTGTCATTCATCTACATGTAATGGATCCTTTTGTGTAGGACCTCTCTTATCTACTGTTGGAATAATAATGCAGTGTCAGTCAGTGGTGCATACTAATGGTATCACCATTAGAAATTTACTAGATACTATTTTCAACTTACTTCCAGCATTCATACACCAATGGGAAATTTGAATTCGATTCTGCAAGATTGCCTTTACAAGGTTCCATTACAGACAGGCCCTCCCATGACTTCTACCTGAAGATGGAGACTAAGCGATTGTCTAAGACAGTGTCCAGTGATTGAGACTAGCTCCTTTTAATGGGCCCAACTGAGTAGGTTTATCCTACCCCATCCACCTGAGGACAGAGACAGACCTAGTCTCCAAAATCTTGTGGTTTTTGTCTTATATATAGCAGATGATGGATAGAGTCCAAAATAAGCTTAATAGTTCTGTACAGCATATACCATCATCAAAATCCTTTCAAGTCTATTTGTCTATGACATATCTACTGGTATTTAGAATCCAGACAACAGAAAACATTCACAGAAAATTCTCTTTTAACTTCACTAGAACACTGTGACAGATCTTAGTAGAATGACAGCAAATGATGAATTGGAAAGGATGTAGAAGCCAGAAATAGTGGCCTATTTTAACAAACTACTCAGGATTTATCTATTTCTTGGAACTGAGAGAAATATTATTATGACTGAAGGTAACATGAAATATAATTTAGGCACCAAATGATACTAGTAAATATAAGGTGGTTACATTAATGAGAATCTGTATAAACAAATATCAAATAAAGAAGTTATCAGGGTCCTGAATTGTAATCCCTGAGTGGAACAATGAATCCTTATTTTCTACAAAGTACAGGCATTTTCTGATTTACAGTGTTTCTAAAAAGAATGTTTTACTTTAATGTGGCAAGGAATCTTCTAATATAACACAATAGCAATTATAAAAAGAAAAGAGGCGATACACAATGCACACCAAGTTCTCAAGTCTGATTTGCATCAGGTGCTCAATTTACCTTGATGTATCAGCATATGCACATACTGACCTGTTAGTTATGAATTGTTCTTATTTAAAAATAAATTGTTATTACTGTACTGCCTTTCCTTGCATAACTATTGTTCAGACTAAGGAACAGCTCCTGTTTGCCTATACAGAGAATATCATGATTTACTCTTCACATATACACTCAACTCTCATTCTGTTAGCACTAGAGACACAAACCTGTTCTATAGCACAGGAGTGTGTCAACAATTCTGCACCTCAGTACGTCATCCTGTCTAAAAGAAGCATGCTTGTAGAAAAATTATTTTGGTTCTTGCTTAGGACACTAAACAGGGAATCTGCCCTTGTAATCTAACATACATGCCCTTCAAACAACATTCCTGGTATGAAGACCATTGGTGATGCTCCAAGGAAATACAAGTTAATTAAACCACTAATTATGCGTGTGTGGCTAAATCCCATCACTGTCTCCCCATACAGGTACTCCATGAGCTCTGATTCTACACGCAGCTCTATGCCTTGGAGACTACCCATCATACTTCTGACATGATCCATAGGTATCAACACTTCATGTTTGCCATTTTTCTGCAACAGCAAAAACATCAGTCAATTTAGTTTTCATGAGAAAGGAAATAAAAATTTCTTTAACTGAGAAATATGCACATATACACAATGGTTTATGCCAAAACTATGTATTAATCTGAAAATTACTGTCTTCTGGGAAACGATACCATGCAATCTGGCAGTCTACCACACTACATGGCATCTCATCTCGAAAGTCAGTGAACATCACAATTCACTGCCATGAGAGCTTCAGATTTCACTGTATACTGATTACTTTGAACTGTAAAGTCACAAATGGCAGAGAGTTCAAGAAACAAGCTACAGTGAAGGTAGAAGCTTTTTCTTAAATACAATGAAACTTACAGCTTACAAAGATATATAAGCAAACAGACAATTGCTGGCAAATTGAAAGCCCTCTTGTGAATCAGTCAACATATGAATGCATAAAATGTCCGAGGAATAAGAACAGATTTGTCTTATAGCTTCAGCCATTCTTGTACAAGTTATAGTACGTAGTTATAGTTGTATAGTTGTACGTAGTTATAGTTTTCATAACCATACAACTGCAGGAGACTGGATTTTGTGTTGGATCCTCTTCTCTAATTATTGCAATTATTTCTTCTTTTTGTCTGTGATGGGAAAATCGATCCTTCCACCTGTCAAACCAACTGGTCACAATGGATGCAATTCCTGAACTTATCTGAGTATTTGTATGTAGAGGACCAATAATTACACATTTTCATGTTCTTTAGAAATTACACTGGTGACTCATAGACAAAACTAAGTACATTACACAACTGTGCCACCCTTCATAAAGTGCTACAGTACTAGGAGGCAGGTTATCTACACAGGCAAGTGAGCTACATGGTAAGAAAGTAAATTAAATTGAGATTAATTAATGCTTCACATGTATAATAAACAGTATGGCTTAAATATTACCTCTTAATTTATCCATTTGCCATCAGGTGTTTATTCTGAATAATAATACCATTCATTAAAAGCATTCTAATCATATGTATAATAAGAGTAACTTTTATTTTTGTAGTTTTTTTAACAACGTTGTTGGTAACTCAGACTATATACCATTAAATGATTCGATGACAGTGAATAATTAATTGGCAAGGATGTGGAAGGAATCTGCCATGGCCTAATTTAAGGTACTATCTCAGCAATAACCTGTTGAATCTGAGGAAGACTACAACAAAACCTTTGTAGAATAGCTTGTGTTCCAGCTGACATTTGAACCAGACACCTTCTGAATACAAATCAGAAATGTTACAGCCTGATCCAGCTTGCTTGGAGGTAACAGTAACCAGCTGCCACTTCTGGGTATAATTTTATGTGGAAAGCATGCATTAAAATTTCTTTGCAATAAAACCGTTCCAAATAAATTTGTGAGACTGAAAGGGAAACTCATACTTTAAAAGCGTTGAATGTCAATTATTCCTTTAAAAAATTATGAATGGATTTAAACATTCAAACATTGTAAATTTCATCCTAAAGCAATTAAGTATATCATATGGATACTCCTGTAAAATAGTAAAATACACTCATTCTGAGTTACTGTAAAGAGCTGTTTTTATATTAAACCATTTATGGACTTAAAAATTTCAAGAAATTCATTTTACTCTGAAATGGAGTGCACCTTTCCACACTTACTCAGCCACCTGCACAAATTAAAATTCAAGGTAAGCAAATTAGCATTAAACCATATAAATACATGGTTTAATGCTAATTTGCTCACTTTGAATTTTAATAAGACTCAATATGTCAAGTTTGGACCTATGAATTATTATAATATTGCTACTCAACTTAACTATGGTCAAATAAATTTAACAAATGTGACTGAGACAAAATTTCTGGGAGTAATTATTGATGATACTCTTTCGTGGAAACAGCATATTGATTATGTTATTAATAAAATTTCCATTGCATATTATGCATTGAGAAATATAAAATATATTGTCCCTTTAGATATGTTAAAGCTAATTTATTTTGCTCATATACATTCTATCATAAGTTATGGTATAATTTGGAGGGGTGGCTCTTCTTGTGTTAACAAATTTTATATTGTAAAAGAAAGTTGATTCACAAATATAAAACTAGAGCCCTCAATAATTTATATTACCTGCAGTTAACCTAAAAAAATACAATAAAGGTGTGTACATATCAGGTATTAAAGTTAATAATCATCTTCCTCAAACAATAAAAATATTGGCTACTGATGAGAGAAGTTTTAAATCTGCATTGAAGAAGTTTTTATATCATCATTCTTTTTATTCCATTAATGAATATTATCAATAAAATTGTCCATAAATATGAAAATTTGTATTGTATTTAATTCAGTTAATATAGGTAATTTAAATAAAATTGTATTAATTCAGATTTTATAGTAAATTGTTTTTAAATTATGTTTATTAATTAAAATCTTATTAATTTTTTTACTTTATATTATTATTTATGTTCATCGATTAATGAAAATGATTTTGATTATGTGACTCGCGTAATTTTGTATATGTATTTTTATATATCTATTTTCAAAGGGACCATTTCCACATCCTACGTTTGTTACCTGTATGGATATATGGAAAATAAATTAAATAAATTAATGAATTCAGCAAATTTCCATTTTACATGCTAATGTAATGCAATATTTTATTTTCAAATTACCATAGGCGATTTATCTTGCCAAATCAGCTTTTGACTATCATTTTGCTTTAAATATTTGCCATACATTCTGAATGTTGCATTGCCTCTAGCTATTCTTTCCGTTGCAGAGTGAGCAGAGATGTTGGCTCTGACGTACTTCTCTGTGTCCAAGGTGTATGCTGGCAAAGATACATGAACCTGTAAATATTTAATTTACTCATATCAGGCTAATCTCCTTGCTGAATTCTTTATTATATCACTTTAGAGTAGTAGGAGAAAGCCAATACTGTACCTCATACCTCGAACAGGGGACTGAAATAGTTTTCTACTCTAATAATTTGATCTTCAGTCTGATCCAGAGCTTCAACACGAATCTTCCAGAAGCCATCATTTACAAGCTGTGGTAAAGTAAATTTATGACTTATGACACCTAAAATAAGAACAGTATATAATTATTTATGAGTTAACAGACTGAATAAAGCTATTCTAGCTTCATTATTTACACAAGATTGTGGCTTAACTCAAAGAATCACAGCTTTGAATCTCTAACATTAACTCCAACTGCCTGGAAGATCAAATGTCCCAATAACAGAAGTTTCTTATCAGCATAATTGCTGACAAACTGAAATGGTTAAAAGTAAATAAGAACCCAGACATATTTTTCACAAGAGGCTGGGTACTATTTGAGCTTGCCTGTGAATAATTCTGAAGTACATGGTCAATTAATTCTTATACAGATTCATTCATACATTTATTCATTTATACATAAAAGACAAACACACAGTGGATTCCAGTTAAAATGGACACATCAGGATTAGAGCACTTTACCCAAGTTAAGTGACTGTCACAGATATACGAAGTTGCAAGTAAAAGACAAAAGCTCAGCTTTCCTTTTACCGAGTAACAAAAATACTGACTTTAGATGAGCTGAAATTATTGGTGCAAATCACAGAAAAATGTTTACCCTAAAAATAAATTTGATTCAACTAAATATTAAACAGGGGGCACACAGTAGCGTAGTTAGTTGAGGCACTATGCTATGAGATGGAAGGTCGTGGGTTCAAGTCCCGATGAGGTCATTGGATTTTTTTCAATTGACCTAATCCTTCCAGCCGCACTATGGCCCTGGGGCTGACTCAGCCTCTAACGGAAATGAGTACCAGGAATATTCTTGGTGGTAAAGGGCGGCTGGCGCTCTTTTTTTTTAATTGTAAGAAACAAAATTGTAAACACAAAAGAGGCCTAGGCAATGCACATCCGGCCTTCTGTAGCACATTCTAATAATCATCTTCTTCTATAATAGTGGTAGGCCCGCGATTGTTAATATAGATCTTGACTTAAATCTGTGTGTATACTGTAAATAATCAGTGCAATTATGTATTTTATTTTTCTTACATATCTATTTTATAAACATAGAGGAATGTTGTTTATGAAGTAATAGACACCTTGAAGAAATCTTTTTTCTTCTAACCTTAAGAGCTCTGTAACTGATTTTGGGTAATGCTTTTTGCTGTTCTCAGACAAGAGGTCCATCACTGTTGTCCTTTGGTCCTCGTACTGTTTACGCATAGGGTTGACAACCTTGGCGCCATCTATGAGCCGATTGTCTAGAAATGTGGGAACCTCGACATCTCACAACCCTATGGGCCTCCATAGTATGTTACAGCGATACCTTTACTTTTTACTTTATGTATTAAACATGCATATGTGGACAGAGGAATGGATCGAGTATGCCCTAGCATGTTCTTTTCACTGACTGTAACTTAAACAAAATCAGCACCGGTTTCTGGTGCAGATATAGAACTGCATTTATGGCCTTCTTGCACGAAATAACCTCCTCCAGCAATAAATTTCCTAACATCCTGGANACATGTTCTTTTCACTGACTGTAACTTAAATAAAATCAGCACCGGTTTCTGGTGCAGATATAGAACTGCATCATGGCCTTCCTGCACGAAATAACCTCCTCCAGCAATAAATTTCCTAACATCCTGGAGTGAGAGTGAAAGTGTGAGTGTGAGAGTGAGAGTGAGTGAGCGTGAGCATGAGAGAGTAGTGAGTGCGTGAGCTTTTTCAACTATTTCTTCCAAAACACTGGACGTTATATGTTTTAGGAACAGTGAAGATCTGGCATATTCAGCAACAGTGAGCATATACATTATGAAAGACCTGAAGGACTACCATCTCCCAAATTAAAACTGCTGGGTTGGATCAGGTCAGGTAAATTGCTGCTGCAATAGGCTCTGTCATTTTGAACAGACTACAAATAATAGATTAAATCACTGATCACATATGCAGAAGGAAACTGATGCACACTATGCACAGTTAAATAATTTATGATATGTAAAGTAATGGGAGAATAATGCTGTTAACCTATTTCCTCATACATCAGCATGATAAATATCCATTAGCTGACATTTTTATGATGCTAAACTAAAAGCATGCAAAATAATACTTATGTTAAACAACTATACATTGCTAAAAAGACTGTTACTTTTAAAGGAAGGTTTACATTTTCTTCTCCAAATGCACTAAACAGGATTTTAAATGCATGTTTGTTCTCTTTTATCACAAATACCTTTAGTTACTGTCTTGCTGACTTTACTGACCCATGTCTATTGGCAGAGATGAAGGCATACAGTTCTGCTATGGCTATTGTAAGATCCCAGCGACAATGAGAGAAGAAATAGTTTTTATCTTTTGATACAGCAGAGTAAAACTCACCATTGTTTATTTGCATTGAAACCCATCTCCTCATAATTAAACCATCTGAATTCTGCAAATAAAAAGTACCACAGCCATAAAAATTTATTTTCATAGGTTTCCCAGCATACAGTATGAACTGAATACTTGTATTTTAGGTCAATATCACCCAACTGAAAACAAACTAGTAGTATTAGAAAATTACATATTCTTGGATATTCAGTCACCCATAAAGATGAAGTAACTGGATGAATGTTTCTGCTTAACTGATATGCATCAAACTAAAATAATCACATTAGGTCTATGCTACAACATTATTTCCTGTGTCTTACAGGGAATGTTGCATTATATTTTCTCATTAATTATATGTCTAATACTTGAACTTCACTTACTGTTATAGAGCCTGTCAATTTTTTTAATTCAAGTGACATTGGAATGGAGTATGCAGGTGTTTCCTCCAATTTTCACTGTAATATCAGTAGGACAGAAAGAAGAACATTTGATACCAAACTCTATAAAATTAATAAATAAGTATGTTTTGGCATGTTTGCAGTCCTGCATGGCACTTATTACGTAAGAATGGTGGAGCTATATTTTCACTACCTTATATGCCTTCATGGCATAGTGCTTAATTAATTAAGCACAGGGACAACTTTACATTTACTGGGTATCTATCTACAAGAATACATAACATCACACTCCAGGAGATCATGATCTTTATTTTGCATCCTAATTTTTTATAGTGAGGGATTGTTAGCTGTCAACCCAACCCCAAGCTAGAGGACTACCATTTATTAAGTGTCGGTGACTGCTTAGTCAATACATGAAATGTCCTTTTACAAATCTGCAAGTTGAATGTGGTTAAAAAATTATCAAAAGCATGTACATTTGTCATACTATCCAGGCTTATACATTGATGGTATTCTACAAGATGTGAAAAACACTGATGTATACCTAACGTACTGCAGCGTGTAGAGCTGTTGCTACGCAATGATCGTGAGATGGGCAGATATACCAGGATCATTTCCGGGCAACGGCTCAGTAAACATGTTCCCATCGCTAGGCATGGGATTCTTAATAATGCCACAGTTGGACTACAACACTGGAAGAGCTGTGTTTTTTATATGGTCCATTGTAAGATGTTATAAGCAAGGGATGACTGACCAGGCAGTTGATAGCCAGTTCTGTACAGGAGTCTGTGAAGACAGAACTTAAGCCAGAGGCAGAGAAATAGCCATTGTTGGAGTCGTTACCAGGAAATGTCTAGGAATAGACTAAGAACACTAGACTGTATGCTCTAGTGAACTGTAAAGTGTGAAAATAGTGATAGTGTTATAGCTATTTGTAGTTACAACCAGTAAGTGGTCAATGAATCTATTCACCAATCCAAACCCCATCTATATTCACCCGAACATGTGACAATACATTAATTCATATTGGTAGCACTTTCAAAAAATATTATGCATACAGTAAAAAGGATTGGAATGACTGATAGAAGAATTTTAAAAAAAAAATTTTGGAGGATTTTACATGATGTCATATTTGTGTACATCTTGTTTGACCCAGGAAGGATCCATATGTGTAGCTATCCTCCATATCTGAAGGTCAGATCCTCCATCTGTACCCTGAAGAGGCATTATGTCACAGTAACAGGGACCCATACAAGTATAACTTGAGATGTCTAAACAAAAAACAAAGCTGAACTAAAATATGAAACCTGAAATTAAAACAAGACTAAACCATCAGCTGAAAAGGTAAAGCTATTCCTGTAACAGTCCTTGGAAGTCCATATGGTTGTGAGACGTTGAGACTCCCACATTTTAGTAAACTTGGAATTTTAACTCTTTACTCCCAATATATATATATATATATGTTTGTTGTAAAGCATAAGGATCTTTTCACAATAAATGCTGCCTTGTGTAAAATAAATACCCACCAAAAAAAGGACTTTCATGTTCCTTTAGTAAGTCTAACTAAAGTTCAAAAAGGAGTATATTATTCCGGTATTATAGAAAACTCGTTTTATTCAGTTGAAGAGTATCTTGATAGGATTAATAATCTGATTTGTTTCATTCTGGTCCATCACACTAACAATTACAAAGACAAAACAACTCCGTCCAGTGTGACTATTAAGTTTTACTACTTGAAAACTTAGCACCCTTACATGTTTTGATCCTTACAGATCATCTTCAGAGGGAACATCGATACTTATTCGGGAAATGCTATCACAATAGGTGTTCTGAGTGCTAAATTACATACACACAATGCCTGGAATACACAATATACATAAAATCCAATTTTTTCACAAACACANCCATGTAATTTATACTTCCTGTGTCTGTGACATTAATTTGGGCTTGTCCTGATGTTGAATTATGAGGTCGAACATGTTACATTGGCTATTACTTGTACTTTCTTTTGTGTGTTTTTGTTTTTCTATCAATTTATTGAACTTATTAAAGTCCTCTTTTATATTCATGATTCCTCCTTTATTGGCTTTTTCAGTCATTTCCATGATTACTGTCATTGGCCCATACTGATGGTGTTTATTTAGTATGTGTTGGGTAAATGCTGATTTGTCTTTGTTTAGTCTTATGTTTCTTATGTGTTCTTTGTATCTTGTTGTTAGATTTCTACCAGTTTGGCCGATGTATACATTTAGCAACTTCGGCATGTTATTTTGTATATCCCACTTTGTTCGTAGGGGTTTATTTCTCATTTTTCATTTATTAGTTTACCTATTGTGTTGGTTGTTTTGAAGGCAATCTTATGTTAGTGTTTTTAATAGTTTTGTGGTTTTTCATATGTAGTTTCCTGTATAAGCATAGGTGACCCATTTTTGTTCTTTTTTGTGTTTATTATCCGGGTTACTTAACTTTTGTTTAAGTTTGTTATATAGATGTGTAATGTCTTCCTTTCTATAGCCATTATTTAGTGCTATATTAAAAATAGTATTTAATTCTTTGTACCTGAATGGATCAATGAATGCTAATAAATACAATATAATACAATTTTCTAGACAATCAGCTTACAGATGGTGGTGAGGTTGTCAGCCTTATGCGCTGGCTGCACTTTATCCCCAGGAATATTCCTGGTACTCAGCCAACCCTAGGGCCATATGCAGCTGGAAGTATTAGGTCATCATCATCAGTAATCTGTCAAGACGACAGGTCCACAGTCTCTTTCAAAACAATTCCTCCACTTAATGCGATCTAGAGCTTTCTCCTTCAAATGACAGTATCCTCTTCTGTCCCCAAGGTCATCCAGCATCTTCTTACGTCTTCTTCCTCGTCTTCTTGTCACTTCTATCCGCCCATCTATCTTTCCTTCGATAGCTTCTTTTAGAAGGCAGTTTCTGCGTAAAACATGACCAATCCAATTAGCCTTCCGTTTTCTTATTTCATGTAGGATATTCCTCTGCTCACTGACTCTAATTAACACTTCTTCATTTCTCACATAATCGGTCCAACTGATCTTCTCCATTCTTCTCCAACACCACATTTCGAAACTTTCCAGATGTTTCTGATCTACTGCCCTAAGTGTCCATGTTTCAGCCCCATACAGAGCTATGCTCCAAATGTAGCATTTCACTAGTTTCTTCCTCAAATTTAAGTCCAATTTGCTGGTAAAAAGATTCTTCTTCTTGCTAAATGCAGCTTTTGCCATGGCAATCCTGGATTTAATTTCACAAGTACACCTTCCATCATCTGTTAACAAGCTACCCAAATATTTAAAACATTTCACATTCTCCACTTGTTTTTGGTCTATCTTTATTGTGACTGGGGTTGGTTGTCTCGAAATTTTCATTACTTTTGTTTTCTCCACATTCATTTCCATGCCATAGCACCTTCCAATTTCAATTAGTCTATCAATCATGCCCTGTAGCACAGTTTCTTCCTTAGCCATTAACACAAGGTCATCTGCATATTTCACAGTTTGAATAATTTGCCCTCCTACTTTGAAGTCACCGAGCCCATCCAGAGCTTCCTTGGTAAGGCATTCGCTGTACAAGTTGAACAGAATTGGTGATAAACAGCATCCTTGTCGAACTCCTCTTCCAATCTGCACACTTCCTGTCTCCCCCCTGTCCAGTCGTACTCTAACTTTCTGATCCATGTACAATTTGCTAATCAATCTTCTTTCATGCCAATCGATACCTGTTTCTTTCAGGATCTGCATTAATTTGGTCCAGTTTACCCGGTCAAATGCCTTCTGCCAGTCTATGAAGCAAACACACAGTTCTTCATCTATCTCCAAAGTTCGTTCCGCTATAATTCTCATCATCCCAATTGCATCCCTGGTTCCTTTTCCTCTTCTAAATCCAAACTGATCTTCTCCAAGTACATCCTCTATTTTCCTTTCAATTCTTCTTTTAAGTATCTTTGCTATTATCTTTGCTGTATGTGCAATAAGACTTATTGTGCGATGGTCGCTGCATTTTGTAGCTTTTGTCTTTTTCTTTAAGGCAATCATTGTAACTTCTGTAAAGTCCTTGGGCCACTCTCCACTTTCATATATGGTGTTCATTAGTTTTGTCAGTGTTTTCAAACCACCTTCTCCCAGTAACTTGAGCACATCTCCAGGTACATCATCATCTCCTGTAGCCTTTCCCTTCCTCATTTCCTTGATAGCTTTTTCCACCTCACTTTGTAAAATATATGGTCCTTTCTCGTCTGTATCTACTTCTTCTTCCGGTTCAACTTCTAAGGTTTCTGGCCGATTAGGTCGATCATATAGTTCTGAAATATAATTTTCCCAAATTTTCAGCACTTGCCTCTGATCTACTATTCTATTCCCCTGGGAGTCTTCGATGCCAACATTTTGAATCCCATGATTCTCTTTCCATCCTAGTTCTTTTGTCTTCATGTACATCAAATCATAACGGCCTGTTCTTTGAAATTCCATAATCTCATTACATATCTTCTCAAGATATTCCTTTTTGGCCCTGTCCGTGGCTCTTTTCAATTCATTCCTCAGTCTCCTGTATTTCCTCCTGCCTTCTTCATTGTTGACATTCTTCCATTTCCTTCGCTCCTCCATTTTACTCATCATCTCCTGTGTAACCCATGGTTTTCTTGCTATCTTCTCAACTTTACCTACCAAATCACTGATAGTATCTAACATGCATTCTTTTATATCGTTCCACTGCGCTTCAGCATTTCCGCTTTCACCTTCAATTGCACCGAGTTTCTCTTCTAGAGTCTCTTGCACGCTTTGTCTTTGAGCATATAACTTCTCCAAATCCCATCTGGGTCTGCGCTTTCGAAATCCTATAATTTTCTTCAACCTGGTTCGGAACTTGGCAACCAGCAAGTTGTGGTCAGAGTCAATGTCTGCCCCAGGAAGCGTCTTCACATCCTTCACACTGTTTCTGAATCGATGTTTCACAAGGATGTAGTCCAGCTGATGCCTCTTCCAATCCCCAGGTGCCTTCCATGTGTAAATTCTTCTCTTTGGCTTCTTGAACCAAGTGTTGGTAACAATCAATCCATTTCGTTCACAAAAGTCAATAAGCATTTGACCTCTGTGATTCCGTCTTCCTAGTCCATGTGATCCAACAATATTCTGATATGGTTCATCTCCAACAATGCTGTTCCAGTCTCCAGTATTAGGTAAACTGAAAAAATCCAATGACCTTATCAGGATTCAAACCCATGACCTTCTGGCTTGTAGCATAGTGCCTCAACAAACTATGCTACCATGTTCACCTTTTAAACTTACAGTTAAATTAATAAAAATATGTTTTGTTATTGTTTTCCATCTCAACACAACAACTATCAAATCTCATTCACATTTACTGTGTATAATGAATTTATTAGTTTAAATAGTATGACAGTGTGCTACATATTTTGTTTTATAAAGTCATCACCACGTAGTAGATATTAACAAACATTTTCAAACAATTGAATTGCACTTCATATGAATTTATATAATATAATAAAATAATTAGTGTCAATGTGTCTGACTTTCCATTCAGTTAATACATTCAACACTTTGTCTCATAAATGTATTAAAATTGAAATGAAAATTCTACATCAAATGGATGCATAGAGATATATAAATATATTTATAATAAAATGAACTAAAAATGTAACACTATAAAACACACTCAGAGAATGAATTTAATTATGTTCATTAAGTTTATGGTATTTGTCATGCTTAAATATCGTTATATATAAACACTGTTTATGTTGGTGTCTATTACTGCAATTATAACGTTGTAGTGAAGCGGCCTCCATAGTCCAGGGGTAACGTTCCCACCTCATGACTCAAACTGGGTTCAACTTTTTAACTCTAAATTGTGATAAAACACAGTTTTTACAATTTTTCCTAAAGAAGCATAGAGAAATAGAAATCCAAAGTACAATTACTAATACATTAATTACAAATATTAATTGTTCAAAGTTTTTGGGAATAAATATAGATAGTTCATTGTCATGGAAAAATCACTTAACTTTATTATCAGTAAGACTAAGCAAAGCATGTTTTGCAATAAGGGCAATAAAACCCTTTATGTCATTGGATACAATAAAGACGATTTATCACTCTTATGTGCATTCAATATTGAAGTATGGCATTATCTTTTGGGGTAATGCCCCTTTTAGTAAGAACATTTTTAAAATACAAAAAAGAATCATAAGAATTATGTCTGGATCAGGAAAATATGATTCTTGTAGGGAATTGTTTAAAAAGTTACAAATATTGCCACTCCAATCTGAATATATTTTTTCTTTGCTTCTCTTTGTTATTAAGAATAAAAATTATTTCAAATTTAATACAGAAATACATAATATTAATACCCGTTATAATTACAATTTACACTTACCCTTTACAAATTTATCAATTGCACAAAAAGGAGTCCTGTTCTCTGGAAGCAAATTGTATAATAAATTACCTTTGAATATTAAATCATCATCTGGAGAAATTAAGAAGTTCAAATTTTTATTGAGAAGATATCTCACTGAACATGCATTTTATAGCATTGATGAATTTTACCAAACTACTTCCCGATGAATATTTTTATAATACTTTATTAATAATTTATTTTTTAACACACGATTACATTAAATTATGTAAATGATTTCAGACTATTGTATGACTGTGACAGGTATATATGATATTTAACTGGTATGTGAGGCGTTATATTTATTGCTTATATTTATCTTGAAACTAAAGCGCATAATAATCTTTTGTACTTAATATATTTTGGGTGGAATTGTATATAGAAGATTCATGCTACTGATAATTTAAATTCTTTGTTTTAATTTGTTTGTATTTAATGAAATTGTTATTACACTGTGTACTATTTTATATCGTTTTTATTGTTTATCTTGACTGTTTCAATGTTTGGAACTTATTTTAATATTATTATTGACATGTTCTATATCCAGGGTTGTATTTCAACCTATGTTTTGGATTTACTGAATTTGAAATAAATGAATGAATGAATGAAACCAGGCGGAGGTCGTGGAATTTTTAAGGGCAGAAAAATTCAGGGAACAAGTTCTCCAGGAGGCACTTTAAGCCATGGGTCCCGTGTCATAGATTTACAGCATGTATAAGATCCTCATGTCTCTAGGAGACCTCTGAGCAAACTTAGGTAAAAAGTTTCCCGCCCAAGTAGTTTCCAATGCTTCTGTTAGATGGGGAATTATCGGGTACCACTGCCAGTAGAGGGGCCGAACTCACTGGCTGAACAGGGCTGATAGCGAGCACCAGTACCGGAAGGGTATGGCGACTGGTAGAATATCAAAGGGGGACGTACAATAGATCAACACCTGGTCACGGTGCATGGGAAAACCCACCCCCTCCAATAATGAATGAATGAATGAATGAATGTTGTAGTACGATGTATGTAGTTATTTACAGGTGTTGTTTTGATTTTGGTCAAGTGTGTTTTATTTCTATTCCAATTTGAGTTCCTTATGGAGCAGCTGCACTGTTTGGAACCAGTGGTTGCAATATTCTATAACGTTTTATTCTGCTTACCATAGTCTGGTTTTCTTCATTTTATAGGTTTATCCACTTCCTGTGTTTCTGTGTCTGGCTGCATTGTGTGTTAGCTTGGGCACTATGGTCCTGGGATCGACACAGCCTCTAACAGAAATGAATATGATGGATCTTCCTCGGGGTAAAGGGTATCCGGTTCATAAGACTGACAACTTCACCACCATCTTTGAGCCGATGGTCTAGAAAATGTGGGAGTCTCAACATCTCACAACACTATGGGCCTCCACAGCCTATTATAGGGATAGCTTTACCTTGTTTTCATTTTACTAAGATTATCATTATGTGTTTCTCAGCTTACCAAGACATAAACATTCACTGAATCTTCAAATGGTTTTAACTCAGTTGTAAGGAGCACAACACGGAAGCGAACTAGAACAAACAAGGCATTACTACAATGTATTATGTAGTACCACTGGAGATGCAAGACTTCAGCATGAAAGAGAATTATGTGGTGAGGAAGATTTGGTAATGCAGAGAATAGAGTCCTGTAAACATTTTTAAGAAATCACTGACTTCCAGTATATAGCAACACCAGACATAACAGTGGTAATACTTTCTATTTTCAGTTGTCTCGGCACTGATACCAGCTGGCTTGCAGCGTTCACATGAAATCCCGCAAAAAGCAATTTACAGTTCTCACAGTTTTTCAATCTTGTGCTAAAATGTAAAAACTAGTCTCTGGACACCAAAATGAGAGTTACAAATACTGTACCCTTCAGAACACAAGTAATTCTTAATAAATTATATTAATGACTGGATAATTAAGAATTATGAATATTTATTTTCCTGGCATTACAGAATGAATGATACACTATACTGCCATCTTCCTCATCAAATACTGTGTATGTTTTCTGCTAAAAATGTATATTTTAATTCAAGCTCCTAACTTCAAGTTTGAATACACTGGAGATACCAATCCTAAAAAGTTCTGACAATGTCGGATTATACCAATTATTACAAGTTTCCTGAACTGTATCCAATGCCCAAGGTTCTAAAATAGAAAACATATCAGGAGCTGGATCTACTATCTAGTTATGTCCCTTAGAAAGAGCTAACAAACTCATTGTACAATGTAAGTGAAGAAAATAAGTCTGTATGGGCCAATTAGATCAGGTTTTGTCATTGAGAGACAATGAGAAAATATTTCATACAAACTATGACAATGTCCCTGAAGTCATAAAGCTAAGATCAGTCACAAAATTAAAATTAACCCAACAAACAAGTTTGTTATCCTGGAGTACCAGAACCTTTCTTTCTAGACAAGATGTTTTGAGCATGTGTTTATTCCCAGTGTTGAGAGAGAAATAATAATGTATTTAATTTAATTTAGCTCAAATTCATTCATCCTCTTAAATTAAACTAATGGCATGGAAAATATCTCATATACATGCATAAAAGTAACATAAATATTTCAACCAAGTTTCTTGTGTATACAGAATGTATGGAGAAGATTTGCAAGTCAGAAGAAATTATATATTACATAAATAAGATGATGATATTCCATGAAAGTATTTATATCACACTCAGAAGTATCTATATTGATTCTTCTAAAAAATCAAAATAGTCATCCACCACAATTTCAACCATAAACCATAAAATTTTGAGTTCTACCTGTGCATTGCCAATTAATCTTATTTTCTGTAATCTGAAGGATATATTTACTATTTGTAACTCATAATTATTTGTTTATTGTGGATTTCTTATTGAATATGACTGTTCTTAAATGACATGTTTCTGACCTTTTATTTATGTAATCTAAGGCCTTAACTATTTATATTTTATACTGTTGTAATGTCCCATGTAAACAACTTTTTTAATTGGTATGTATATACTGAGTGAGGACAAGTTCTGTATCCATCTTGTGGCTGTCTGGAATACTGAATAAATACTAATACTAATAATAAGCAAAGGCGCAAAATAATAATTTGAATTAGGCCTTTGTAATCCAATAGAATGAAGTTAGGCCAGGATCTTTAACAGTGGCGTCCTTTTGCTTTCTGATTGCTGCGGTGCCACTCTGATACTGCTGATCTCTGAGATAAAAGTGTTAACTTCTTTAAGAATGTGCATTTCATAAGCTGTTTGTATTAAATTCTGCATATGAAACTGTAAATCTTTCGTTAGGTAATGAGAATGGCTTCATTATCATGTTTTATGCCCATTTTGTTCAACACGGAACTGCATGCTGGACCTGCCTCGCACAGTTATATTTAGGAATATACCCCTGACAACCTTGGCAGTTTACTCACCGATTATGCAGGGGAAAAATACTGTCATCATGGCACAGTCTCTTGGTAGCCTGGACTGCAGAAAAAGACAGCTTTGGATTTGATTTGCAGCCAATAAAATAAAAGTTTTCACTCAAGGAAGGTCATAGTACAAGAAATATTACTACTGAAGAATCATTTTTTCTCATTGACACTTTCTGTTTTCCTTGTGTTTTTTTTTTGAGGAGGGGGATATGCCAGGTCAGTTAAAACTGGCCACAGCCACTTTCTTGGATGCTTCTATTCATGCATAGTCTAATGCTGTATAATCCCAGAACTGCTATGATCCTATAAATCACCTACATAGATCGAATATAGTTAATTCTATTACAGACCTTAAAGTATTCTTAAATAACAAACAAACAAATTCCCTGGTATAGTATATGGCCTTCCCTGAACTATAAATTAATTAAATTAGTTTTTGTACTTGTATTTGTCGTACCTGGAGGATTATCATATTGACCACTACACCATATCAGTATACTCTATCCTTAGCCATTTCACATTTTAACAATCTATTTCCCTTAAATCTATTTTATTAATATCATCTAATACATTTGTAACAGAATCTTTAATGCCTTGCTAGCTGCCTACCTCTCCTCTCAGCTTACAGGATATCTCCTTCAGATAAAGATGTAAAGTTATCCATTCTCTCAAACAACACATATTGGCACTAACAGTTTTACATTTCTGTTACTTCACTTATATCTTAAAATAAATTAAAATATAAATGTAATTATATTTATAATGCAATTGCAATGAACTCGGCTCACAGTTCTTTCACAGATATAAAATTAATATTTTAGTCAATGTTTATTCCATATTGTATCCTCAGATTGTTCAGAAAATGTTTGCAGGTTTACTCACCAACTTGTCCTGCTTTATAGACAGGGCGACTAGTCTGAATGACAATTGAAAGGAACCGAGGAGAGAAAACAATTTCTGTTTCATTCTTGAACACAGTTCCTCTACTCGTGTGTGGATAGTTTCCTTCTATCCTCAGCATGTAGTGTCCTGCTGTACTTGATGAAGGTATCTGAAATCAACTGTTTCACTCATTTGTGGTTTATTTACTGATATTGTCAGTATTTCAGCAGTATTTTAGTTTTACGTTCTACAAAAAAAGAAAAGAAAGAATAATATTCAAAGCTGCATGCTTTTCAAAGGTTGATTGCCAGATATCGTTTAAATTTTGTATATGTTCAAAATACTAATTTTATGCAAAAAAACTTTAAAATGTTTTGTGTTCTCATGAATCTATGAGTCTAATTTTAATGCTAGGTTAGAAGTTTAAACTTGTACACAGGATGATTGAGTGTTGGCCCACCCTTCTTATTTCTATTGTCAATAATATGCCTTTACAATGAGTAGAGCATATTTTTCTATGATGATTCTGTAGTTGAATAACTGAAACTGCTCCCTGAGTCTAACAATACAATTACCTCAAATGATTTACACAAACAAAGCCGTGTGATATAAGCCATAATAAAAACAGAGCCCCTTTGTTTCACCCCCAGAACTAATTATCTTGTGAATGCTAATGATGAACTGTTAATACTCAATGCTACAACTCTGGTTGAACATAAATATTCTCATGCTTGTTTTTTCACTTTGGCTTAATCCCTTCCTTACAAAGAATATCTTTGATCAGCCCTCACCTGCATGAATAGGGTCTGAGTGCTAGAAACAGGGATATTTTGTGTAACTGAAGTAATTTCCGTCTCATCTTTTCTTATCTCTATTTTCACAGAAATAAATGGATAGTCTATTCTTAAGGTGTCCAGTATAGTTATTGTGACTCCATACAGAGTTGTAGGACGAATTACTTTAGGAGCAACAATCAAGTAGCACCTGAAACAATGTATGTATATCAATTTTAAAAAAGTGAATCCAGTAGACTCAGTGTAATAAATAAGCAGTATTTTCTAGAAGCATTCATTTCCCTTTAAAATTCCCTGTTAGGTCATGCAACCCAAGAAATATCAAACTAAAAATGAAGAATACACAAATGCCAAAAAAATATATATATGCACTTGCACATGGATCTACAAAGTGAACAGAATGGTTGAACATAGATGTTGATATTGTTGCTGATACAGAAACTGTTATATTCCTACCATAATTATTACAATTTGAGGACATACATATTTCAGAAATACAACAGATTTTAGAAATTTCATACCATTACACAAGACCATTATGACATTATTCTTATGCACACACAGCACTAATTAAACAACTAAATATTGCTGCAACTGGATGTATCATACAACTGGTCATAGTCATCTCATTACTAGCATAGGTTATCCTTGATATTAAATCAAAATGTAAATCTGTAGCTAGCTTCCAAACACACAAAAGCACATCGTTTCCATTCAATGCCATAATCACATAATGGCTACAGATGGCTACAGATAGAACCATGTCCAAACCAAAATCATGCATTTAGGGTTTGTAACATGATATTTTCGAATGTCACACTGATGTCATCTTTAGAAATTGCATAAATAACAAAAGACAACTTAGAAAAGGCATGTAAGCAACTAAACATGTGGAGCTGGAAAAAGGATCACGCTGATGTTTTTACTTTCTTGTTTTTCCAAATGCAATTTGATTCCTGCAGAAATAAATGTCCTAGTTTCTTCTGCTAAATTTCGCAGTAAAGCATCCCCAGCTAAGTCAAGTTTACATTGTAAGTGATTCAAAATTGAGGTCAGGTAATAAATGTAAAAGTAAATGTGGTTGCCCAACCCACACCCCTCCAAATGGAAGTCATATGTACTCTGGTTTTGATTATATATTGTGACATGTTGCGCAAAGGAGAACTCCCCCCCCCCACCAGCAGTGACGCGGCGGGTGAGTCAGCGCTCCCCTCCCCCTCCTCCGCACGGTAACGTAACGGTGCCGCAACAGGATTGCGAGAGACGACGGTGGTAACAGCGGTTACTACCGCTAGCGTTACTAGCAACACAGCGCCAGGCAACAAGGGTGCTTATTACGTGGCCGTTTTCTGTATGGTCCGATCGAGGCTACATGAGGCGCAGCGAAGGCTATTCACAGTTAGTCCTNAATGTGAAATAAAATTCGCTATATAAAATACGGCGTGAAGTTATTTGTCGCGATATACGCCCAACACGCGACAATATATATCTACTCTTGTTCACTCATCACCCTGAAATTTAAGTGAGCAATGAGTGAACAAAGGTGGAAACATATTTGAATATGCCTATCATCCAGTGATTCAGAAATGTACAACTTACATTTAAGAACCACCTAACAAAATTCACTGTCCCACAGATGCCCGGTGTACTAAGTATAAATATTTTTACAGCAACTGGAATTCATTAACTCGCATGCGACTGGTGGGTAATCTCTTTCTGGAGTCTTGCGAAGTCCATGAATATGAAACTAATAAATCTGTAGATCTGGAGTCTGGTGACACCTGTAAAATATGCACAGACCTCACCACACTCCAGAAAGACGATCACCCTCTAGCTACAGGAGAGTTAATTGAGACTGGTGGCTATGAAAATATTTGTATTTAGTACACTGCGAAACTACGAGTGCATACATTTTGATGGATGGATATTAGATGTGAGTTGCACATATCTGCAACTCTGGACGGTAGACCTCTTTTTTTCTAAATATCCAGTAACATTCCAGTTGACTCCAGCAAGGCCAACTTCAGTGACTGCAACGATCTTTAATTTGCTTATGCATGCAAATAATTACACAACTTGACGCCAAACATGGAATCCCTACTTTTGATACTATCTGGCATTCTAAAGAGAATGTCCTGTATCTGTAGATCTTATGTTAAGATAGGCGTCGACTTTACATTTCCAGTGACTCTACCGAAGGACGAACATTACTGGGGAGGGGGGTCAAAAATGCCTTAGGTCATGGAAAACCTTCGGTGGCCATGCATGTAGGGAAGAATCATATGCATAATTATGCATAATAATTAAGGGACTTCAAGAACAGTAGTTTCCCACGTTAGATTTACGACTGACGCAAAGAACATCAACATTTCAAAATCCCCATATTTTATTTGTTTTGCAGAGTCAATACTACTATTTTTGTGGTCTGTACAGTTTACATTAACTAGGTTGCGTAAAGTTTCTACTACTCCCATACCGATATATGCCTCCGGAAACTTGGACCCTAGCAAAGTCAGATGACCGTCTATTAGTATATTTGAAATGAAATCATGAATTAAATATAGGAACGGACAAATATGGTAAAACAAATATCGTTATGAACTTTACGACTTCGTGGAAGAACAAGGTGTTTCATCTGGAAGATTAAAGGGGGAAGGCGATGTGATGAGGATGGAGGGAAAGGAACTGCAAAAAATCCTGATAAGTTTCGATGGATGAAGAGAAGAAGTGACACAAAAATTGAGACAGATTGACAACTTGGAAAGTAATCTCAGAGAAAAGGGCGTTAGAATTTGGAAAAAAAAAATGTGGCAAAGAAGGGCTGCCTATGATGGTGGTGACGGTGGCTGAGGCGGCGGTCTTGTATTTATCTAAAAACCGCTCTGCTTATTTTTCAAAACACAAATTTTCGGAGACTCAGTTCTGGTGCAAGGCCTTATGTGTGGAGTTTTAATAATTTAATGTTTTCTTAGCTCTCACAGATGGTTTGTTCTGTGTTTGGCTTCTGTACCCCATCTTGAAGCTGGCAAGGTGCCCGGGGATAAGAACCAGTTCTATCGATTGGGCCCAAATGAGAATGTTTCACCTGATGACGGAGACAGAATCCAGTCTCCGAAACGTTGTGTTTTGAAAAATAAACAGGGTGATTTTTAGATAAAGTCAAGACGATGGATAATGCCCAAAAATATAATAATTGAACGATAACTGGTGTATTTCCGAAGGCCGTTTTTTTTCTGAAACTTCCTTGTTAACCTGAAGCATACTATTGTTCTGTATAAGATCTATACACTACATCACGACCAGTTTCTTCGATATCCATAATGCCATGTAAATGTAACGCCAAGAATCCTACTCTGGAACGAAACCGGTGGTGAAGGGTATGCTGCAGCCCGATGCATAATGAATAAGAATGAAACTAGCAGAACTATCAAAGTTTCGCATCGTTCTTTAGTCAATTAAAACAATGAAGTTTGCATGATAATAATTCAAATTAACATAACACTCGTGTTGTGAAATAATTTCCCATTCATTATTTGAGTTACGTACTTTCTCCAAGGTCTGTTCAGTCAATCTTAACTTTGTTGGAGTAGACCTATTGGCTGCCTTGTCGGCTCAAAGGTTATTTAATACTAATGTATCAAACAAAAAGGAACGTTGAATGAGACGAGAGGATGATATCGGTGAAATTAAAAATTAAAACTTTACGTTATCAGGGACGCGGTATCAACTACTGAAGCTGTTCGGCGTCAATTGAGACAAGGGAATGATTACACCCAATGAGCTAGTAAGGAATGAAGGAGGCCGCGCCATAGCTCAAGCGGTTAGTCGCTGGCTTCCCACCGCGGCGGCTCGGGTTCGATCCCGGGTCTAGTCAAGTGGGATTTGTGGTGGACAAAGTGACGCTGGGACAGGTTTTCTCCGAGTACTTCGGTTTTCCCTGCCAATCTTCATTCCATCAATTGCTCCACAATCACCCTCACCTATCATCTGGGGCTGGTACAGTAGGCCAGAAGTGACCGCAATACAAGGGACTTGGTCCCACCCCACTAGCAATAAATAATAAAAAAAGAAAAGGAATGAAGGAGAAGTGGTCATATTTCGAAGTATTAAAGTTGGTCTCTGACATTAAGGGAGGAACACAGACTGAGGGTGTTTGAGAACAGGGTGTCGAGGAGAATATTTGGACAGCAGAGAGATGAAGTAATAGTAGGCTGGAGAAAACTGATTAATGAGGAGCTTCATAAATTGTACTCTTCGCTATGTATAATTAGAATGATCAAGTCAAGGAGGATGAGGTGGGCAGGGCATGTAGCACGAATGGAGGAGAAGAGGAATGCATATAGGATATTTGTGGGAAAGCCAGAAGGAAAGCGACCACTGGAAAGACCAAGACGTAGGTGGGTGGACAATATTAAAATGGATCTTAGAGAGATTGGATGGGATGGTATGGATTGGATTGATCTGGTTCAGGATAGGGACCAGTGGAGGGCTTTTGTGAAGACGGTAATGAATCTTTGGGTTCCATAAAATGCTGGGAAATTCTTGAGCAGCTGCATATTTGGCTTCTCCTTAAGAAGGGCTCAACTCCAGAAGTAAGTAATTAATTAACCCAGAAATAGGCCAGTAGGAAGACCTAGAAGTAGCTGGGAGGATAATACGATACGTATTATAATATTCAATAGTACGGCCTTACAAACACATACTGCAATAAGCCATATGCATGCGTCAAATGCGGCGGCCAACACAATACGACAGACTGCAAGAAGACAGGGGAAACACCAGCCAGATGTGCACTATGCGGAGGAAATCACCCCGCAAACTACAGAGGATGTGAACACTTTCGTAAGCTAATCAAAGGTATCAGCAAAAGCTTTTCTCAAAGACCCACCACTCCAGCAATCTACACAAATGAATTCTACACGAGAAATATACAACATCTAGAAATAACCCAACCCAGAAGCTACGCAGAAATCACAAAGTGAAATTTAACCCAAACAGAAGAAACAACTAACATACTAGCAAAATTCCTAGACGAATTCAAAAATTTAATTCAACAATTATTACAACAAAATACTATGGTACTAAACATGCTAACACCACTCGTCAAAAAAGCGAAATAAATGGACAAATTCCTAAGAATAGCTCAATGGAAGGCCAATGGACTTCCAAATCATCAAGAAGATATAAAAA